ATTGGATTGTGAATGAGCAAGCAACAACTTATTCAACAAAACAAGCTCATCTCAACCAATATCTTGGTAAATAAACCAATTTTCTGGTTAATGTTGCAAATGAAATGCAAAAGGCATTGCTGAAAGCTCGAAAATTTGAGTTCTGGGTTCAAACTTGGGTTGGTTTGCAGGGAAATAAAAACTTAGTCCATTGGTGCTCTTTAACAGTTAATCCGACGAATGGTTTTCTGGAAAATCAAGGCCAAATTTGAAACTTCAATCGCCTTTTGTTCAGCTATGGAAGCAAATTTTTCCGTCAAACTTATTTTAGTGATGTTTCTTTTGATGCCAAACCTGAAAATTGTCTTATTTTAAGAAATAACATTTTCTATTTCTATAAAACAGATCAAGTTCGATTTTCACTTGGATGCACCGATTTCTGTGACCGTCATGATTAGAGAACTGAAACTTATCATTGATCTATTAAAATTATTTGTACACCTCCTGGATTGAATCCTTTTTTCAATCTACCAACAGTTCGCTTGATTTTGGCCGTTGAACTTAAAACTTTGAACCCCGATATTTTGAGAATGGAAACACCTGGGATCATCATTCTTTGAACAAACATTAGATTTTATTATGGGCTACAATATAACATGACTAAATACATTTCAAAATGAATATCCTTCTAAAAATTAAGGTTTGAATTTGAGCAATCATTTAACTTTATGCATAAAGTAAAATATGATAACATAAGTAACACAATGCTATAACTTTTTTAGTAGGATCCTAAATAATTTACTGTTTCAATATGTTGAAGCCAATAATAAAACCTAATGTTAGATCAAAGAATAATGATTTTAGCTTATGCCATTCTCGAAATGTGGAGGTTCAAACTTGTTAGGTCAATGGCCAAAATCAAGAGAACCGTTGATGGATTGAAGAAAGGATTCAATCCATACTGTGTACAAATAATTTCAATGGACCAATACAAAGTTTCAAAGCTCTAACTACTATGGTCACAAAATGCGGTCGCTACAAATTAAAGTCGAACTTAGCTGTTCTACAGAAAACAGAAAATGTTATTTCTCAAAATATGCCCATTTTCTGGTTGGCCATCAAAATGCAACTCTGGGAAATGAGTTTCATGAAAAAATCATAATCCATAATTGTACAAAAAGCGATTGAAGTTTCAAATTTGGCCTCGATTTTTCAGAAAACTATCCATCGGATTAACTATTAAATAGCACCAATGGACTAAGTTTTCATTTCCTTACAAACTTTCCCAAGTTTGAACCCAGAACTCAAATGTTCGAGCTTGCAGCAATACCTTTTGTTTTTCATTTGCAATATTAACCAGAAAATTGGTTTATTTACCAAGATATTGGTTGAGATGAGCTTGTTTTGTTGAATAAGCTGTTGCTTGCTCATTCACAATCCAATAATCATTGTCCGTATGCGATAATGGAAAGTTATTGAGTTGAATTGAATAATTAATTAGTAAAGCATTAAACTGGTGAAAGAATAATGATTGTAGATACTAAAATTGTCGAAATATTGAGGACCAAAGTTTTCAGTCTAATGGGCAAAATCAAGAAGACGGTTGATGAATTGATAAAACTATTCAATCCGTAATGTGTACAAATAATTTCAATGGGTTAACTATAAGTTTCAGCCCTCTAACTCTTACGGTAACAGAATGCGGTCGCTTTAAATAAAAATCGAAATTAGCTGTTCTACAGAAAAAGAAAAGTTTTATTTCTCAAAATATGTCCATTTTCTGGTTTGCTATCAAAAGTTACATAAGCAAAATGAGTTTCATGAAAAAATCTGTTCACACAACTGTACAAAAGGCGATACAAGTTTCAACTTTGAACTCGATTTGCTCGAAAACCGCGGATCAGAGAAACTTTTAAGTCACACAAATGGACTCAGTTTAGATTTCTCTACAAAATAACAGAATCTAGATTGAGAATAAACCAAGTTTTACCCGATTTTGTCAGTTTTTGCCTGTTTGTCTTTCAGTTTCTGTATCAATTTGTGCTTGAATGTGTTTATTGTGTCTTTTCATAATAGCAACAACCAGAACCTTGTAGAAGTAAAAACTATGTTCATGAATGTAGATATATGGACATTCGTCTATTGTTAAGAAAAAAAGGATCCAAAATTTACTTTGAACATCATTATTGTTGATATAAATTCTAGAAAAAACTGACGAAAAATATTATTATTACAACGTTATTCTTAATAGACATTATACTCACAATCAGCACAAATTCTTTGGTTACCAACCCAAAATCACCAATCTGGACTCCAGTTGTTGGTAAGGTTAATCTGTTTAGTATTTCAACCATCTGGAATATAAACATTTATTCTGTTAAATTTAAATAAATTCAAGCCTTTCCAATAGAATTATATTGCAGATAAATGATGGACAGAAAATGTTGCAGGGCTATTCAGCTAAACTGTATGGTGCTGAATGTGATTTAGAACTGGCAGAGTTAAACTGTTCAGGTGTAAAGATTCATTTGACTTCCTTCATCAATCAAAGGCTATTTTCTGAAGTCACAAATTTTCCCTCTCTAGATGCCGTTTGTTGCAAGTTGCTTTCCTTTCATTGCATTTGCAAACAGAGTATCTATTCAGAATATAAGTCACTAACTCTGTAGTTTACTTGCATCATATTAGCTGAATAGCCCTGTGAGTTAAATTAAATTATATTGGGTTATACTTTAAATTTCATGATTGTCGTTGCTCTACTTTTACAATATATTTGATGCCACATTGGATAGAGACTGGCAACCTGTAAGATTGAAAACAAAAATTAACTTGAAAAATCGTGCTTGATAAAACTCAATCAACCTTGTTGTTCAATTGTGCAGAAAAGAGACTGATTATCAAATTGTAAACTACAATCACAATTCCAAGAGTAGCAATAAGGATATCCATTACAACAGAATGATTTCCAACAATTACACCGAAATGGATGAACCAAAGGGATTGAAAAGCCACTCCAGTGTAAAAATAAAAAAGCAAGGAACGAACTCTGCTAGAATAGAAATCTATTTCGTTGAACAATATCAATGTATGCTCGATAACGAACTTGATATCTGTGTTGTGAGTCTTATCAATTGATGCGAGTAACGCTGATGTTGCATTTACTAAGGAATCCATGTGATAATAAAAAACACCAGCATAAATACAAAATAATGCCCCATAACAGAGCAAGTGAACTGCATAATAAGATACTAAAGGTGTCAATGTTAAAGTCCATGTAATCTCAAAGAAGATTGTTTTCAGTGATAGATTTTTATAAACACAAATTACAAGCTCATAATTGTAAAGAATCCATATATATGGAACTACCATGATAATGGCGAAGTTATGAAATTCACCGATAAAGTAAAAAAAGCGACAAAAGTCTTTTTGTTGAGGCTTCACAAATGGAAAATGGGAAAATCCATTTTTCAATAGGACTTTGATTCTGGCTGGTTCACCAACAAAACCATCTCTATTCTCGACAATTAATACTAATTCATGACACATTGCCATAATTGTTACTCCAACAATAATTATAATCCATAAAAAATCTCTGTCTTTGGATCCATAAGCTAAATCACCGAAATAAATGGCAGTTTCATCGTGAATGTTGAGCACCACAAGAGCTCTTAACATGCCAACTAAATACCAAAATCGCAGCATCCAATGGCCAAAGTCCTTTTTTTGATTCATTTTGGTAGTTTTATCGATATTCTGATCAAATCCATGTCTCAATGCTAAGTAAAATTTAAATCGATGTTCCAGCATTTCAATGGATTCAATGGAAACCTGCTTAAAATCATGTTCATGGAACTGTTTAGTAAATATTAGTTTAAGTAATTTAATCAGATCAAAAAAAATTAATTTGATGAAGTTTTGTTTCATTTTTCCTTTAATTGCTGAAGGAGTTATCCATCCAACAAGTAGAGCAAACATCCGATTGATTTATAAGACTAAATTACATTTCACTCATACTAGCAGAAAATTTGACTGTTATTAGTCTTTTCAAAAGGACTGTTCAATTAACTTTGAAATATCGATCTGAAAATTGATTCAAGCTGAGGTTGTGTTCATATTTTACGCTTTTTTCATTGATCATTGATTCTGTATGCATCGAATGATCATTTGTCTAACAGTTATCCAAGTCGTGTGACGCATAGAGGAATATTGAATTATGATAATTTTAAATCTAATTTAATGACCGTAAAATTCACTCCTTGATTTTTCCATCAGAAAATGCTCAACATGTTGTCATGATAGTATCAAACTACAGCCTATACAATGGGAGTTCTTTGCGAAATATTACAGCATTTCTCGATGACTTTATACAATTTCTCATAATGTCATCGAGAAATACTGTAAAAAAAGACTGTCAAGAATTTCTGAACTTTTAATGCCGTTTTAATGGTCTTTTATACATCTTGCTGTTTCTAAACTAATACCAATCTGAACTTATTAGAGCTAATTAAAAATCTATTTTTATTCCGAGGGATTTATTGCCCGAAATACCCAGGAATTAATCAACAGAATCAAAGGCGAGCTCAAAAAATTTGACTCTGAATATTTTGAACGCCTAAAGACTAATCTCTAATCCAAAGTAAACGAAACTACTGAAAAAGGATAATTTTTTGTCAGAAGAAGTTCATGAACTTAGGGTGTCTCAAGAAACAAAAAAATCAATTGTTCAAAAAACAATCGAGTTATAACCCAAAGAACTTTTTTTGACATAATTTTTAGCTACAGGTTACTTTACTTAATTTAGCTTCAATGAACTATCTAGTATTTTGAAATGCTTGATTTCGTTATAATTAATATTATCGCTAATAATTAAGGAAAACGATTTGTTGAAAATGCATTTTATTAGCACTCTATTAATATTAGTTGAATGGACTTCAAGTTTTGGTCAAATCTACAGCATTGCCATCTTTTGTTGATAAAAGATGAATAAAACCAGAAAAAAATGTAAGAACCAGAAATACTGATATAACTTCTTATATGAATCGTTTATTATATGAATTTAAAATTTAATACAATTTAATTTTAATCATCTTCAGACAAAGTGTTAGTTTTCAAGCTTGACTTCAAGTTTTCAGGAAGATGACAAATTTGATCGAGATCACAAGTTTCAGTCATTATTTCATAACTCTTCAGGAATTGGGATGCATTGCACATTGGATCATCACAACGGTCAATTTTTACAGGGAATCCATTGATCATAGTCAATAACTTGTAATCAGACGGATTAGTAGATTCGATGTTTTCAGTGCATCTATAAAGTACACCATCAAAATTTACATTGAAAGGAAGAATCAAAGAGGTTCGCCATTGTCGATCTCCATTTGGACAAAAGTTATCATCTAACTCTAACTTGTTAAAAAGACCAAGAGCAGCCCATAATCTTGAAATGGCACCTTAATAATAAAAAAAACAATGCACATTAGAAAGGCAAATAGTAAAGGTATCTTAACATAAAGGTAATATTCACAAACCTGCATGTGAGAAGTAAAGATAAGTCGTTTTGTTTTCAGGCTGAGCAATTCCTTTTATTACAGCTCTATAGAGATCACCAATTAAAGGACAAGGCATCTGATGATTTAAATATAATCCAGGTCCGTTTTTGTAGTAATGCTTCAAATCTTCTCTGGTTTCTAAAGCTCTCAACTCTTTCTTGGTGAACAAAGAGCACCAAGGAGCTTTCTCATAGATTGCTTGTTCGAAGCAACAGGTTTTATACATTACACTCAGCTCTGCATCATCGATTGTCCTGTTCAATCCCATTCTTTTACTGATTCTTTGACGAAGTGTTTGGAATAATTTACTTTCGGTGATTTCTTTCACTTGCTTTGATTCGGGAATTTTACCATTTATCTTCTTTTTACAAATCGAATGGAACTGGAGGTGATTGCGAATCACATAATCCTCTTCATTAATATTGATATCTGTTTTAGATTAGGATATAAAACCAAAATGAGGTTAAAAGTTAAAAATCATTCTTAACGACTATTTAGTGTCAAATGATTTACTATAGTATTTGCACAATTACTGGTTTACTTACCAGATCTTAAATCGTGTAGGCCATCAACAAATGCATGAGCTGTTTCATTGGTCCTCACCTTAGCGGTGATACCAACTCTAAAGTTGACTTCACTCGGATCAAATAAAGTTGGATAACGTTCATAAAATAATCCAGCTAATAAACACGGAAATTAAAAATTTTAAAATTCATAATGTGACAACAAAATGAAAAAAGCGTTGACTTGCAACTTACCTATCTTTTTGGTAGCCTCAACTCCACTAGGTGTCACATGATTGTCGTTTTCAGGAACCATTTGAAGCTTCCAATCTTTAACTGTTTGATAATCCTGTTCACATAATTCACTTTGTTCAGAGTTGTATCCATTAATAATCTCACTTTGTAGTTTAGGCAAAATTTGACTCATTTCAATAATATCATCTTTCTTGGGATATCTTATTGAATGTCTTGAAAATAAATAAAACATAATAGGTTTACAAGTTGATGGGATATCAATTGGGTCAGCCAATTTAGCAAACAGTTTGACTGATTGATCAAAAGTAGTCCTTGTTGAATAAACACGTTTAATGTCATTTTTATCACTGGATAAACAAATTGGACTTTCTTTATTGAAACTGTCGCACTTTCTATCAGCCAAAGCATCCAATGGTAAAGTTAAAGTAAAGATGAGCGCAAGCAAAATCATGGTTAGTGTAAAACTTAGGCCTGCGATTAACCAAAACCGTTTTCTCGACCAAAATTTACGCCTTTTCTGCTGATTGAGGATGAAAATTATGATCACTGTTAGACTCAAACATTGTAAATTAAACATTATATACAAGAAAAAGACATCAGCTTGACGTCATTTCAAGCATTTTATCATTTAAACAATGCTATGCTCATAGCTTTGTTTATTGTTGTAGATACATTATAAGCAACTACAGAAACAATTGTATTCGTTCACCTCAAACAAGTTCGAGGTTAAATTCCGAACTAATCTATCTCCAATTATCCTTTCCCTCAAATAATTAACACTTAAATGTTCAATATCGATTTGAACCGTTTCAAATGATTATTTATAATCTAAGTTTTTATGGATACAAGTGTCAATTGTTTCTATAAGGCTACAATTGTTTACATTCAAGCTAAGCTTGATTTGACAAATCATGATATAATGATCATCAGAATCATTTTGTCAAGATCAGCTACACAATTGAATAGTAAGTGAATATAAAAATGAAATGAAAACTTACCCAAACCTTTCCTTTTTTGAGATCAATTTGACTATCAAACATGCTGGTAGAGTTGATCAGAAGACTGTTGTTCATTGCTGGTCTATGGAAGCGTGTATAGTTGTAATTCATTTGCAAAAAACGAAACAAAAAAGATGTAAATTAATTCAATACTATCGGTAATAAAACTTGATGTTAACTGAATGCAATATTCATGAAATAGTTTAAAAAGCGTCCTTTTCCTTAACTGGATGCAGAGCAGGCAGTAACATTAAAACCAAGGACAATCGAAGATGAAAGTTGCGATAACGTTAGTTTAAAATTAAGGCTGACCGGAGATGAACAGATGAGTTTAGCTGTTCATGGTCTGGTGTTGAAACAGAAAGCACTGAAAAACCTTGAAGCTGTAACTCGTTTTTTCCATCACTGGTTTTATGGTTATTTCTGTCATGATATTTCAAATTGCTTTAGTGTACTCTTAAAGTAATTAACACTGGCTTCGTCAAGATTGTTTTAAAAAATAAAATTATTAATCCTTCATTTAGTTTTTAAAGCTTTCAAATTCAATAACAGATTAGCTTTGAAAGTTGACTTTAATGAATTGCCATACAATCCCTTTTTTCATAGGAGCGTTCACCTAATTTTTATGTTTACCATTAGTTTCAATTAGAGTAATGTTGATCTCGTTTAAAATTTACTTTTCCTTTCAATTTTTTGGTTGAAAACATCAGAAAATCAGGATTTTTTTAATTATTTTTGATGCCAACAGTTCATTTTGACCTCTCAATTGACACAAAAATCAAACCTGTATCGTTCGAGTCTGCACATTCAATCACTAATCAATTCAAAAGCAAAACAAAGTTTCGTTTGCATATTTAATAAACTGATTTTTTAAAGATATAATGATCGATAATTTCTCATTGGTAAAACATCAGTTAATCAAGGTTTTGAGCCTCATTCATATTAGAAAGGAGAAAAATGAAAATTGTGAAAAAATAAATTTCAATTTATCAATTTTAAAAAATAAAAGCATGAGAATTTTACATGCGAAGGTTTAATAAGCGTAAAATGTATCAATATCAACATAAATATAAGTATTAATAATAAGTAATATAAGGAAATTCAATAATTGTAGATCATTTGCTGATGCGAATATTTGATTGGGTGGATGTTTTGTTAAGACATATCTTGAAATAGAGGAAGAATTGCTTCTGAAATGATTTAGTCAATTGTGGAATCAGTACGCCAAAAATAATATAGACACTTTGGTAATAGATTAATTGACACTTGAAGCGAATATCGCAATAATCTATCTCATCATTCTTTGAACACCTTGAAGTTTTCAAATGTTCACAATGGAGATTATCTCACAAGATTGTCAGAAATATTGTAAGGTTGATGAAATTTTACCTGATCTGATTGCCATCTGTTAATTCCTGGACAAAATATTTTGATCCGTATTAGAATGTATCTTTCATGTTAAACTACAGGAGGATTGGTGAGAAAAAATGATAAACCATGTTAATAAATAAGTTGATTTGGAATTAGGAGAAACTGTGAAACTGGAATGTTGGCATAAAAGAGTTTGGAAATAAGTTTCGCTATCCACAATTAATAATGTCAGCGAATGCTCAATAGCAGATTTGAATTCACCATGATATTCTGCGGTTATCTGTTGTGAATAAAAATTTTTGACACACCAATTATCCAATTTACAGGACTATTCATTATTTCAAAAGCTCGTTTTGTTATATCGATAAGTTTCCCACATCCTGACATAATTTACGTGTGTTGCTTGAATATTTCTATGATTGTCGCATCAACAATGATCAACACCTATTGAATATACTTTTCACAGGTGAGTAATAACATTCATCCATTACAAATTCGAAATAGCTTCAAAAATGAGCCATAATAAGTTGAAGTATAACGGCAGTATTAGATTATCAATTTGCACTGTTTTAGCCTCGAGTATCGATGATATTACGCATAGAATAATCACCACAACAAAATTTGTTGGCACTTTAAGGAAAGATATTAAAAAAATCGATGCCAATATTTGGAAAAAAATTGCACCAAAAGTACCTTCAAATGATTTCTTTGAGTTGGGCCATTTATGTTTTCCAAAGAGTGACCCAATAATTCCCGCTGCCGTATCACCAACTGCAACAGTAATCAGACCAGATGTTAGGTTAAACGATATCTTATCAATATTTGGAGAGAGCCATGTTGACAAAGAGAGACCAACTAAAAGATAAATATGAGTCAGTGTAAGAAATCCTTGGTCATTTTCATTCTTGAAGCGTTCCATGAAAAATTCAATGGCTTTCCCAGTATTATCTGGATCCGTGATGCGTAGGGTCTCGAGAAGAATGAAAATCCAAAGCAGACATGAGGATAGAAAGTGTAACAGGATCGAATCATACTTCAGACCACTGGCATAAACAGGAATTATAATGAGATGGAAGAATTTTCTAATCACTGTATTTGACGAGCCATTTGCGAAAGCTGCAACAACAACACAGAAAAAAACGGCGAACAAGAAAAGGCAAGCCCAAAGTTCGAAAAGATGTATCTACAAGAGAGTAATTGAAATTAGTAACTGAGAATGAATAAACACTATTTGAATCGCCAATAATAAATTCCACTTACCCTGGTTGATGTGAATATAATCTCCAAAAATAGCCACGTTAAAGGCTCTTTGTTCAGAATAACAGCAATTCTAGAGTATATTAGAAACAGGCCGGTGAAAAAAGATGTATAAACATAAATAAGATTGTCATTTTGAGTAGCTGAGTATAACATAGCGGCCACCGTCATCGATAAACCAAAGAAAAGTATCTGAAAAATTGATAGTTGACATTAGTTTGCAACTTAAAACTTGTTACTTCAATAATAATACCTGTAAAACTCGAGTAGTAGGATCATTTGAACAAGACAAGGCGAGATCAGGTACGGAAGGAACCAACTCACAAAGGGTTGATTGCGCTAAAAAAGTTAGGATTCCTTGTGAAACAATTATAAGTTCACATTGAGAAAACGAGCTTAGGAATCGCCTGTTGATAGATTTGGTGAATAGATTGAATCCATAATTGAACAATGCAAGAATGGGGAAAATGAACCAGGAAAACTCTGAAAAAAATAAAATGGTTGCAAGTTAGAGCGGGTTTGTTTGGTAAAGAGGTTTGGGTTAGGTTTTGAGTCATTTTCAAACACATGGCAAACAATAAATGCAGGCAGTTGATAGTCATTCAAATCAAATTCAAACTGCTATTGTGTGGCACATCTAATTGTGAAATGACCCTTAACCTTGAGTTATTACCTGGAATATAAAACTTAACAGCAACAGTAACAATAAAACTAACGGCAAGAGAATGTTGTGGAGGCTTCAAAAAAGCCACATTTTTATAAGTGACCAGAAAAAAGTTGATGGCGATGAATAGACTTAACCGGTAACAAGCTGAAATATGAAATTAATTAGTACGGAATAAAATATTGAAAGTACAACTTACTGGTTGATTGTGTAGTCAAGACATTCATCAATATATTGGCGACAACCAGAAAAGGACACAGACAAAATGGACATTTAGCGGAAGTTCTGTAAACAAAAGGCGGTCGATAAAAGCGGGAAAATTTATACCAATGTTTGAGCACCTACCTCCAGCCGCTTCCGATTCGCGGTATGCCCTTCATCTTGGGTTAACAAACTGACAAAATTAATGTGAGGAAGACTAGATTGTTGAACTGTTTAGTTAACTGAGATGTGTAACTGACAACAGATGAACATGTGAATAGGTAATATACATGAGGAAACCACACAAAAGGAGCCAAATTTGAAATGGATTTTGAATGAAAAATTATTTGAAATATTCCCGCGTTCACTGTGAAGCTTAAAAGAGCATGAATTTACCAGATTAAGATTACTTTGGTTGATGAATTACTTTATTGGACACTCAATTATAAATAAACAATTAAAAGCAGTTAAACAAATCTTTAGTCAGAGATTTATTGGCCCTGAAAAGGGCCGTTTTATGGTTATAAGGGTGAATTTAAAAAAGATGGGACATGGGGATGGGAATGAAAGATTACAATGTATGAGGGATTGATGAGATTAACCACCGAAACCATACAGAGTTCTTCCTTGACGTTTCAGAGCATAGACCACATCCATGGCGGTTACAGTCTTCCTCTTGGCGTGCTCAGTGTAGGTGACAGCATCTCGAATGACGTTTTCAAGGAAAACCTTAAGAACACCTCGAGTTTCTTCGTAGATCAAACCAGAGATACGTTTGACACCACCTCTTCGAGCAAGACGACGGATAGCTGGCTTGGTGATACCTTGGATGTTATCACGTAAAACTTTTCGGTGACGTTTTGCACCTCCTTTACCAAGACCTTTACCTCCTTTACCACGTCCTGACATGATTGAACACTAAGAAAGATTTCAAGAAATGAAAAAGTTCACAAATACAAATCGAAGTTGTTATTTTAAACACAAAATTGGGAATGATAAACAATTGCAAACCTACATGTATTTATATGAATGCTGCGCTGCTCTGTGATTGGCTCATGCTTTTTTGAGTCCTCGTTGTGGTAAGAGTTTCATCTGTTTCTATCTCAAGCCTAAACGAGGACTCACAAAACAACAACAAATGCTGTTTGGTTAATCTTTTTTTATGTTAGATGTGGATGTTTAACGCTCTTCTTTAGCCAGTTTATTATATCATCTGATTGTTTGTCTTTTATTTTTCAGATTATCATGAGTGAAAGAAGCTTAACTCTTGGTCAGATTGGATCTAATCGTCAACTTTTCCAAGCCTATCATTCATGGCAAGACAAAAAGAATGGTAATGGAGATCTCATTGATTTCTTTACATTATGCGAGGAATCAAAGTTGATGCCCCAACTTATCCAATTACCATGGGATGCAAATGAAGAAGAGGGATTAATTAATTATTTGTTAAACATCTCTTCAGCAAAAAATGCCAAATTACAGGCCATTTTATTTTTATTAATGAAAGGAAAGATAGACCGTGCTGAGAAACTTAAAGAACAATGTCTCTCTGTTGATGAGCAATTTTATGATTCAGCAATGATTATCTCTGCTATCATTGATTCATATGCCAAACATCTTCCTCAATATAAAGATTCAACGATTAATCAGCCAGTGCAAGAGCCAAATACGCCGAAAAAATTTGATAAAAGGCGTCGATCAAGGAAACGAGGAGATTCACTGCCGACTCATCCAATGCAACTCAGAGCTTCGTCAAAAAAAAAATCTCTTCAAACAAATCCTTCCTCTTCAAATGTTCCCCCTTAATTCATCCATTTCCCTCCTTCTGTTTTTACAAACTTGGCCGCGAGGTTGCAGGAGTGTAACACTGCATGAAAGCTATTTTTCTGTTCAATAAATTCTATAGACTTTTTATGTATGCCTTTTCTCTTTACTTCACTCCCTTACTAGAGTTGCTAAGCCTTTCATCGTGAAAAATGTTATCTATTCTTGTTGCCCAATAAATCTGACCTTCGAGTTTTATTTCTCTATTTTGTTTCTAGTGAATTCTGGGCAAGTTAAACTTTAGAATGCTTGGGTCAGCTGTGTTACTCAAAACATCAAATTTGAGGCCTTTATGTCAATCATTGCGTAAAGCTTGGTACTCGACTGGTGCTTCTAATATAAACGAACCCCACCAAATACCTGAACATGTTCGTTATGTTGAAGACAGTCCCGATCCTTCGTTTTTCCATATGGTTGAATTTTTTTACCATCGAGGGTGGCAGATAGTTGAAGATAAATTGGTTGAGGAATGGAAAAGTAAATTGTCCGATGAGGAAAAAAGGAGACGAGTTCGTGGCTACCTAAACATAATTGGACCCTGTCATGCAGTCCTCGAGGTTGGTTTCCCTCTAAAACGAGACAATGGAGAATGGGTCATGATTAATGGTTGGAGAGCTCAACACAGCCATCATAGAATGCCTTGCAAAGGAGGTAAATTGTTTTACTTTGCCTCGAATATTTATTTTAATCATATCGTGGCTTAATTTATTAACTTTCGGCTTCTTATTTTATGGTCTCTTTTTTGATGCATTCAAATTATTCATAACTATTTTTATCGACAGGTATTCGTTATTCTATGGATGTTAGTTTAGACGAAGTGAAAGCTTTATCTGCTCTGATGACCTTCAAATGTGCTGTTGTTGATGTACCATTTGGTGGTGCTAAAGCAGGTTTAAAGATTAATCCAAGAGAGTATAGTGAATTTGAATTGGAGAAGATCACCAGGAACTTTGCTCTTCACATTTCCAAGAAAGGTTTCTTAGGACCTGGTCTTGATGTGCCGGCACCCGATATGGGTACTGGTGAGCGAGAGATGAGTTGGATTGCTGACACGTATGCTCAGACTATTGGTCATACAGATATAAACGCACATGCTTGCGTTACAGGAAAACCAATCAATCAAGGAGGTATCCATGGTCGTATCTCTGCTACTGGACGAGTAAGATAATTTTTCTTGTTTTAACCTACATTAGCGTAACCACCAACATTATGGAAATTTCAGTGACCTTAGCCAATCAGTAATCAGCGAAATGAATTACCCAATCATTTCACTTGTAATTATAATGGGATAGCTGAGATCATCAAAAATTTTATCAAGTTGAAGGTTACTCTAATGTATCTCTTCATTTAAATTCGAACAGATACTCATGTAATTCTATTTAATTCTAGGGTGTTTTTCACGGAATCGACAATTTCATCAATGAGGCTAGTTTCATGAGTATGGTTGGAACCACTCCAGGTTGGGGAGGCAAAACTTTCATTGTACAAGGATTGGGTAATGTCGGTTTACACACTATGAGATATCTCCACAGAGCTGGAGCTCGATGTGTCGGTATCATGGAGATCGATTGTAACATTTTCAATCCTAATGGAATGGATCCTCGTGAAGTTGAAGATTGGAAATTGAATCATGGTACCTTGAAAGATTTCCCTGGCGCTGAAGAATATAAGGGCGAAAGTTTATTGTACGAACCATGCGATATTTTAGTTCCAGCTGCCACAGAAAAATGCATTACCAAAGAGAATGCACATAAGATCAACTGTAAAGTAAGTTCTCATTTTCGATCAAGTTTAAACTTTTACTTTCAACTGTTACATTTCTATTTTTAGATTTTGGCTGAAGCTGCCAACGGTCCAACTACTCCTGCTGCAGATAAAATTCTGCTCGATCGAAACATTTTAGTTATTCCCGATTTATACATCAACGCTGGTGGTGTCACTGTTTCATACTTCGAGTGGTTGAAAAACTTAAATCATGTCAGTTATGGTAGATTATTGTTCAAATATGAACGAGATTCTAATTACCATTTATTGGGTAAGATTTTATTTTTTTCAATTCAATGCTCTTATTTAAAAACTTATTCGAATTTTTTGTTTTCAGAGAGTGTGCAAGAATCTTTAGAACGAAGATTCGGTAAAGCCGGAGGACGTATCCCCATTGTTCCATCTGAAGCTTTCCAGAAAAAGATTGCTGGTGCTTCAGAAAAAGATATTGTCCATTCTGGATTAGATTATACCATGGAACGTTCAGCTAGAGTAATTATCTTTTGTTTTATTTTGTTCTTTCTGCATTTTGGATTTGGCCTTTATTTACATTTTCTCATGTCTTTTTTTATTCTATTTTTTTAGCAAATAATGCGAACTGCAATGAAATACAATCTTGGTTTGGATCTTAGAACTTCCGCTTATGTTAACGCAATCGAGAAGATCTACAATACTTACAAAGAAGCCGGATTAACATTCACTTGAGAATCTTCCTCAATTTCTTGGTTGATCAACAAAAAAAATAAACCAATGCACCTGAAATAATGAGAGAATAGACTAAGAATGATATGGAAAAGACGAAAAAAGATGTTTTTGTTAATTTGAAATCGAGTTTTGTTGATAATTTAATAGCAATTGTTTGGCACATTGCAATCATCAATGGACAGCGAGTCATAAAAAAATATTTAAAATGAATAACATTATAAAACTATCTTACACCTTTTGACGAACCTCTGTCCCTAGGTTAATGAGTCTTCATGAAATGATGAAACATTTTTTATTTATTTTTGACTTAAGTTTTTGACTATCACATTAGATAGTTTTCCTTTGTTAAGTAGTGCAATAACTACCTCATTTCATGCAATCCATTTAAATTACTGTTTATAATTGGAGTGATTGTGAGAGGTTTATTGTTTAAAGCAATACGTTTTCAATTAATCGCAGGATGTACAATGTGAATATGGAACAATAAAGGTGTGAAGATGAGATGCAAGTTTGATTTTAACCAACGAAAATTGCTATTTATTGTTCTTTCAAGTTTAGATTTTCAATATCTTTAAAGGAAAAATTGGCAGAACCTCTTTTAGCTGGTTTAGGTTGAGATAGATCAGGTTTCCATCCAATAAAATTAATTACTTGGAAGGTCGCTGGTATATTTCCAGATTTATCAGCATAAAGTTCCCTATAAATAGATGCAGCAGCAATCAAGCAATCCCTATTGAGATGTAGTCGTCGATTCCAGGCAACACTACTCTCTGCCATTCCCTGTAAATCAAACATTAATTCAAATATTGACGGATAATTTATTGTCATTTCCTCAACATCAATGGTTATCAAATTAAAACCAGCTCTGTTAAGTAGAGATCCAATATCAGTGGGTTCGACAAAAGGTGATATATGAGGTGAAAATCCTCCAAGTCTTTCGCTCTCAGCTATTTGCAATGAGCACCTCAACTCGTAAAGCGTTTGACCTCCAAAAATTGCTCCTAAGAAAACTCCATCGTTTCTCAAACAGCGAATTACTTCACTGAATAATTCTGGTAACTTGTTGACCCAATGTAAAGAGAGGTTTGATAAAACTAGATCACTACATTCGTTTCTAAAAGGCAAATGTTCATCATCGATTAAAATCTTGGAGCAGTATATTTCCTCAGGACATTTAATGCGATCCTACAATAAAAGATAAAAAAATGTACATGAGATTTTGTAAATTTTATAGAAAAGCACACTTACAAGATTGGTATGAGAAGTATCACAGAGAACAACGTTTTCAACAATTTCCTAAATGAACGATAACGAAAGTTCACATTATTATGCATTCGTTCAGATTCGGATATTCAATCAACTTGCTCTAGTTAAATTTTGCGTGACAAATCCACTTCCGGAAGAGAGTTCGATTGCATGGGTGAAAAGTCGTTTGATATCCCAGACTCTGTCAGCCATCCGATAACCGAATTCTTCTTTTACATATTGATAGACAGCGAAATCATCCTTTTGCGCTGATGATTCCCTTTGACGGCGTTTAGCATTACGATCAAAAATATCACTTGATTTGGTAGACTTTTGGCATTTAGGGAATAACATACAATTAAAGACACTACTAATTCTGGGAGAAAGTTTCTGCATATTTGTTATTTTGATTAAATCATACTTTACAAAACAATAACAATAAAACACATTGAATTAAATTGAATCAATTTTTTTATTTACAAAAGTAAATCGGATAAATCTCCATAGAGGGAGCCATGAATATATTTTCATTCAAAGAGTACAGGTAGTTGTAAGGTAGAAGAGACAGCAATCAGAAAGGTAAAGACAAAAGTGTTACCTTATCCCACTGGAGGGGGCTAATTGGAAAATTGAATGAAGGTGTTTTAATGCAGTAAAATTAAAAAAGTATTGTTAAATTAACCGCCGCAAAATAAACAAATTTGATTGAAGCAAAAGACTTTTTGTTGATTTTTTTGCAATTTGTGCCCTCCGGTGGGATAAGGCAACACTTTTGTCTTTACCTTCCAAATTGCTGTCTCTTCCTACTTTACTCTTTGCTTTAAAAGATGGCGCTGATGTTATCATTTAATATTGCTTTCCGTTTCCGAATTTTAAAGTTGTCTTTATATGCTGGTTATTTAAGCATTGTGTTGTTCATTTTTAAGTGTTAATTAAATTAGTTAAATTGTTTAATCATCATGGCTGATGCTGGAGGAGCTGCTCGTGGTGGCTTCAGAGGTGCCTTTGGTGGTGCCAGAGGTCGAGGTCGAGGAAGAGGACGCGGCAGAGGTGGTCGTGGACGAGGCCGTGGTAAGGAAGACAAGGAATGGGTACCTGTTACTAAACTTGGTAGATTGGTTAAAGATGGTAAAATCACATCTTTGGAAGAAATCTATCGTTACTCATTTCCAATTAAAGAATGTGAAATCATCGATTTTTTCCTTGGATCCGGCCTTAAGGATGAAGTATTGAAAATCATGCCGGTCCAGAAGCAAACCAGAGCCGGTCAGCGAACAAGGTTTAAGGCTTTCGTCGCTATTGGTGATTCTAATGGACACATTGGTTTAGGAGTTAAATGTTCTAAAGAAGTAGCAACCGCTATTAGAGGAGCTATTATCTTAGCTAAATTGTCCATTATTCCAGTACGTCGTGGTTATTGGGGTAACAAAATCGGAACACCACACACTGTTCCTTGCAAGGTAAATTTTGTTTCATTTATAATTCATCCTCTCGACACTGAGTTCTTGACACTCGGCTTCGGCTTTGAGTGTTGGGTTCTCGTCGCAGTATTTCGCCTGAGTTGAATTGAGCAATTCAGGTGTGACTGTAGTGTCGTAAATTGACTGTTGTCTCCCGCAAGGTTGAGGCAGCTAGGAAGGTATATTTCATAACCCTTGTTAATGCGATATTTATCGCTGTGACTCTTAGGATTGACCATACTTACCACAATTTTTCTTTATTTCTTTAGGTTACCGGCAAATGTGGCTCAGTTTCTGTCCGACTTATACCAGCTCCTCGTGGTACTGGTATTGTGGCTGCTCACGTACCTAAAAAACTTTTACATATGGCAGGTATTGAAGACTGTTACACTTCTGCTCGAGGTTCCACGTGTACTCTTGGTAATTTTGCCAAAGCCACTTATTTGGCAATCCAAAAAACTTATTCTTACTTGACACCCGATTTATGGGAAGAAAAAAGTACCACTGGTAAATCACCTTATGAAGTACATGCTTCCTACTTAATGCAAGCAGGAAGAAATCTTGGTAAAGCCTATTAAAATTAAATTTAAGTTAAATATTCTAAATAAAAACTGATTATTCAATCGAAATTATTTCATTTAATACTCCATATTATACTTTATAAATTCAAATTGTAATGCTCTAAAGGTCGCGATTGACTTCAAAGTCAATTAATTGTAATTTTTCTAGTTAAATACTTTTCTCAGAATCAGTTGTTCGTTTACACAATTTTTAATCGCGCAAGTAATATAGTCATATCTAGCAAATGTAAGGTCAAAGATACGGATTGATAGGAGCATGTATCAGGTAAAATTTATTGCCAATCAATTTACCGGTTATGTTTACCTTTTCATAAACAAAATTGCTAGTCTATGGCTGGTAATACGGAATTATGAATAAAGCTGTTTCAAGTGGCTTGTCAACAAAGATAGTTAATCTTAATTGCACTCTTATCTAATTTGAGCCATATGCTTCTAATACATACAAATAGCGTGTATAAAAGAAGGCTAGGTTCAGAACTGTGATCAATTTGTAACCAAACTCAACTAGATCGGTTTCAAAATGTTTGTCTGTTCCTTTGTTTTCACCAAGACTCCATATATTCAACGATAACATTGACCAGCCAAGTTTGAAATGATCTTGACTTGACGTAATCTAGCATCAATTTATCTGCTAATTTAGTAATTGATATTATGCTAGATTTCGTGAGGTTAAGACATGCCTTTATACATCCGTATGTCCAGTTCAAGATTGATCAACTAATGACCGAAGAGCCTCAAAAATGATTAAAAATTAGGTAAGCCTCAAGATATTTGATTTTTCATAATTTGTGCTACTGATTTTTCTGTATATTAATAGATATATTTCAAGCAGCCTACTGGATGGTAACAATTGTCTCATCTCAACGATTAAAAACATTGTGCCGTTTGAAATTCCAAATGTTGGATGATCAGATGAAAATAATCCTGAGACTCGATTTATAAAGTGAATAATATAATTTTACAACATTAATAATAACAATTAATGATTAGATTTATGTTTACCATTACAATTTTGGTTTACTTTTTACAATTTAAATGCTCTGTAAAGCATGAGATTATATTGATTGACATAGATTCATGTATAAAATAATAATCAATGAAAGTTACAACAATATAATTTAAATCTTGTACGACTTAGCATATGTAAACTTTGGTTTTGTGTTTTTTGTTAAACTTGAAATTTTGACTTGTCCGTTGATTGTAATGATTAAATTATTACCAGCATCGGTTAATGTTGAATAAAAATTGTTTCGTCTGTTATAAACATTGGAGGAAGCTTTGAAATCGGTTTGATCGAGTCCTTTTGAAATGCAAATCAAGATATCTTCATTTGACTGGATTAACTGCAATTGACTGGTGATAAATTAACAATAATATTAATTGGCATGGTGGAAGAAAAGGAAACTGTAAGTTACAAGAGGAAACATAAAATGATAACAAGAAAAAGGAAAGGATTTACAGAGAATCAGGATAAGCAAAGATGCATAAATGAATATACATCATTACATTTGTATGATAAGTTATTGCATTCCAAAATAAACCAGTCTCTTAGGGTAATATAGAAATTCTGATCAAGTAAATTGAGTTTCATGGAGAGTCAATTAACATGCAGCATTTTCTGTCAATGAAAACGTTTTTGGGATCAATAATTTTTTGGTCACTTTTTTTGTAAAGGGCGAAGAAGAGATTGGCTGAAGATCCAGAATAATTTTGGGTTAACGGCAATGATTGGACGACCGTTGGTTCACTTGGATGAGATATGTTCTTGTGGGATGATGATCATGAAAGATATTGATGAATGTTGATATGAGTATGAAGTAGAGTTAAATTATGATTGAAGATGAATTTTTACTGCATCATAACAGTTGACACAACCAGAAAAAAAGGCTTCCTCAGTGATTTGGTGCCTCAATAAACATTGATTAGAAATGACTAGTTTAAAAGGTAAAGGCGACGACTATGATAGTATAATGACAGTGATGATGATTGTTGATTTGAAAGAGACTATGGTGTTCATTCATGGCTCATGATTATCAAAAAAAAGAAGAAGCCAGGATTATGATAATAGTTAAAGATCCATCAGGAAAAGTGATCCAATTCAAAAAACTTCTCAATTTGTCAAGTTGTCAATTTTGGTTACTTTGTAGGTTTGTCTTCCAGTTAAGTGTCTCTGTATAATTTTTGATCCCATAATAACCAGCTGGTTGTTTAAAGTTGATTTGTATATCATTATTTTTTTGTTGAAATACCACATATTCAGCTATGCAACAACGATTCTCAGAATAGTGATGAAAATATAACAATAAGAATAATAATCAATATGATTAAACATATCAAAATCAGTATTTGTTTCTAGAATAAATAAAGAAAAGATAAAAAAAGATATTAGTTGATTTGCATAAAATTTTAAATTCATGGAAAGATCAATTGCAAATCTTATAAGATGAAAATTAACTGGGGATACAGTTTATACATTTATTTGTATCTATTTTTAAATTATGTTATGAATTGATCATCATCTTTCCATCATCTTCATCTTCTTCATCTTCTCACTTTTTTTCTCTGTCTTATTGAAGCTTCCCTTAAAGTAAAATCAAAAACAAAAAAGGAGATAAAATAACGAAACAAAATAAATCTCTGGAATAAATAAGATTTACAATCCATTTTAAGTTTCTGGTCATGCTAACAATGAGCTATTCATGAAAAATTGTAACTTTGTATGATAGCAACTGAAATATTAGATGAAACATAAGAAGGCGAAAGAAGCTCATAATCATAATTGTTACATTCAATCATTAAGTGCAATATTAGTATTGCTGGGTTGAATATTGATGCTTACTCTTCTTGCTTTGCTTTGATATTCACGAGCCTTTTTTGTATCCGATTTGGCTGTTTCAATGTATTCACGAGCATGAACAACATGATACTCTATCCGGTCAATCATTTCCCCCTGTAAATGAGCAGAGAAAATAAGAAAATAAGTAAATTAGAATGAGTTGAATAGATTAAGAGGAGCAGGAGAAGTTAATTTGGTAAACAAATGGGTTATTTAAATGAGGTTGCAATAAATTGTAAATCTATTAGCTATTTAATTAGCATAAAAATTGACGCACATAATTAATCTCCTTGTAAGTTTAATTGTTACTGTAAACGTAAATGTTATAAGACAATGATGGATGCTGATAGACCTGAAGGGTTAATTAAATGCGTTTATTATGAAAAACAAGTCAGGGTAAGGTTTTGGGTGAAGGTGAACAAAACAAAATGATGATTGACTGATTGAAATGGAATGAGAATTTGATGTCATTCATAGTAAAAATCAGTTGAATTGAATGTTAATCAAATGGTTGTAAATTCAGTGTGAGAATGAACAGATGATTTTGTGTGAATACAATTTAAACGAAAGACTGAACATTGAGTAGATGAAGGAAGACAAATCTTTCCAGGTTTACATTTAAACAGATTCTGGTTGATAATTAAAACTATTAATAATGGATGCACTTAGTCTTTGGTCAAACTTCAAGTTTATAATTTGATTAATCAAACCTTTGATTAATCATCTATTATAAAGATCGATCAAATGGTTTAATGATTCTTTATTTCTTGCTTTCTCTTCTTCTCAGTTACCCTGTCAAGATGAAAGATCATTTATCTGGAAATTATCTTTAACCATAAAGGATGGAAACAAAATTTAGGATTACTTATCCAGAAAATGATTTCACCTTTTGATTACCACCCAAAGAATTAAATCAACTGTAACATTTATTCAATCCGTTTTCATTTAATACCATCATGTAACTGCAAATATATTTTCCAATACATTATAAGAATAGTTGAGTATTTACTTCTATCGTTGCTATCAATTTCCTTTCATTCATTCAATTGTTCAATGTTTAAATTAGCAAGCTTTGAGCTGCAATTAAATTGAATGTAAAATGTTGCTAATGTAAAATACTGGTTTGGGTAAAAACAAAGTCAAAGCTTTCTCAGGTTTGGTTAAAGACTAGGCAATAAAACATGATGTACCACCATTTTTGATTCCAACAATCAAATCAACTTTTATTGACTGGTTAGATATTGTATTGAGAAATGAGATGTTTGATCACTTAATCAGTTAACTAATGAAAGTCACTTGATCAACAGATAAATTGAGAGATAGATTCTGACTAATGGACCATAAAATAGTGTAACTATTAATAAATGAAAAGTAGACAATCCTAAAGTTGTATTTTTGCGAATTAAATGGTTCAATTTCATTACCAGGTTCAAATTTAAAGTAAATATTAACTTTAAACACATTTCAAACTATCCAACCATCTAAATCAATGAGGTTTTCAGAGTCACACTCATATAAATCAATATTGTTTGAATGCATTTTTATGGGAGTTTAGCAATGGACTATCATGGGTTTCTGGTAAAGTAAATATTGTATTAAAAAATGGTCCGTTGTTGATTTTGAGGGACAGAAGAGGAAAAAAGTTCAGTAAAGTTGCCTAAAATCATGTTTATACATATGACCTGTGAATAGGAGAGGATGTTGAAATATGTAAAAGGATACAATTTATTTTGATTGAGAAAAGTGTTTTGAGTGGCTGATTGTTGCGAGTTGATTGATGGTCTCATATAAAAACCATCAAGTTTACAGTACTATTGTGGGTAATTTAATTAGATTGTTTGAAAATATTGCAGAAAATTTGTCTCGAAAGAAATTGTTAACACTAAAGATCAATAACTCACTGGTGACGATAGATACAATGAAAATGATTATCAAAGCTGATCAAATAGCGTTATGACGCCGATTCAAATTGTTTTGCAAGCAATAGATTCGATAAATCACCATTTAAATTTCAAAAAAGCCAGATTAATCAACAGAAAAGTCTATTTATGAAAAGTTAATTGCGTACATCACATATTTATTTCTGGAATCAGCTTGTTTAAATATGATTTGATGACGATGAAAGCAAACTAAATTGGAATATCACAAATTTAGATTTTTCAGGATGCTTTATGACTTCAATGGAAGGTCTCAGTTGAATTTAAATGAAATAACTAGAAAGGAAATGAATTCATTCCCATTTTTTGGTGAATCTAGTTGATTGGTTTCCTTTTAGTTTCAATTCAGATAATAATCTATGAAGTAAACGGGCCATGTAGATTGGTTTTTGGTTAATAAAAATGAAGATAGCTTTCCAAGATAGCATGACAAAATTAAGATAATTAGCTTAATTTGCATGCGATGAATTTCAATATTGTAATTAAACAATCACAGGGTGATATGTTGAAAGGTGATCTCAAGAGTATCTATCAAATCGATACTAATTACTAACACAAGAATAAAGAAATAAAAAGTCTTATGTGATAAAAATGAAGACAGCAATAGTCGCTATTAATAGTGATAGTGATTTTCACATTTTGCACCTTTGAAATGTTGTAATTAATTCAATTTTATATTGCTGGTTGTCTCATGTTGATTCATGAATGCTCATCGTCACAATTGATATTGTAAACAGGAAAGGAATGTAAAATAAAAACAAGAAGCTATTAGATCCAGATTACGAGTTTTCCCAAGCACATTCAAATAGTGTAAGTTGGTTGTAGAAATGAATATTAACATGTCATGATTCACAATAAGCCTCACTGTTGAAAAAATATCATTACCATGTTTGAATACATAATAATCTCAAGAAAGTATAAAATGAAAAACTGTGCATTGAGAAGAAGAAAAATTAGTCAACATTGAATCAATAACAACAGGTACAAAAATGGTGAACATCTCAAATTGCATGTGTTGAAATTATTAACCAATTTGATTAACATTTTTAGGAAATGGATAGAAGAGGGAAATGGTGTAGATACATTAAATAGGTCAGTTTACCTGACTTTCTACCAGCATAGCCATATCCATGAACATATCATGCAATTCTCTTATGCTATTCTCTAATTTAATGATATCAGCATGACGAGCCTCAATATCTGCAAGGGTTTGTCGTGCTTGTTGAGTATCCGTCATAATCTGAAAAGCAAAAAGGAAAGGAAGTTAAGCAATTAGTCATTTCAAGCACAAATGGTAAAGATATGCGTTTTACTGCATCGGTAGAGGTAATAGTTGAGAGGCGGGAAAATTTGTACCCAAAATAGGTTCACTTTAGTATAGTCAGGAAACTTACACCTTGTGTAAAGATGGCTGGATTACCACTTTCAAGCATCTCTTCTAACTCTTCGTTGGTTGTTGACTTACCAGCTACAATTAAAGAAAGAAAGGTGAAACGTAGAGACATTGAAACATTCAACAGATTAACAGTCAACAAATGATTTTGTGATAAATGATGCTTTTGGAAAAGCAAACTAATTGTTAACTACGAACTTACTTATTTCTAATTGTCTTTGGATTCTTGCTTTACATCTTTCACGGTAATCTGTTTGAGTTTTGTTGTAATCTGTCATGACTTCAACAAATTTTTGAGACAACATTGAATGTTGTGTCTTTCTGATGCGAAAATCAGCTGACATCACATTGGTAATTTCCAAATGATCAATACCATGTTCCATTGCTATGGTGAAGATAAAGAAAGTCAATAAAATTAACTTAAATCAAATAGATTGTTAGCAGGTAGAAAAAAACAGAATTAATGATCTTAACCAACATTTCAGTTTCCCTCGGACACGATTAGCTGTTTTTTTTATATCAGCCATTAAATCTTCTAGTTGCTGTTTTGCTCCTGAAAATGAATCAAAAATATTTAGAATTAGATTTTTTGAAAAATGACTAAATAAATACAAAAAAATTAACCACGTTTATAAAGTATTGACAAAAATTGACTCACTTTCATCAGTCTGTGGAGCTGAGAGTATCGAAGAGTGGATTTTTTTAACTTCCTCAACATTGGATTGCATTTTGTCAATATTTTCACGAATCTCTTCAACCTAAAGGAAAAAAAAGAAATAAAAAAAGTACAATCAATCACAATAAAATTTATTCAACCTGCCATTCACAATAACAAGCAATGTTAATTACCTCTTGGAAAAACTGTTCCATATGATTTTCTTCAATTTCAACAGTAACGACTTCATCGTCTTCTGCAATGGCCTGTGTCGAAATGAACGATTTAAGGTGAATTGAATACACTTCCTTTGGTCTGGTAGTCAAATGGATAAACTTACCGCTTTGAGAGCAGCCAGCCTGTCTTTAATCATCTTTTATTGTATTTACATTAAATTTCTACCTTTATTTAAAGTCCACTTCCTAAATGTGATGCAAAATTGGATTTTTTTCCTGTTATTGCTTACGTAGACTCACAATTGGTGTAGAAAATTGATGACAGATCACCTACAAAACCTATTTTCACAATAGTTTGAAAAAATAAGACAACAAATCAAGTTTCGACCCATCAACACGGTTGAGTTGTAAATACACATTAACAGCAAACAACTTAGAATAAAAACAGATACACTAGTAGTCAGGGTTAAGTTAAGAAAATTGGAGATTTTTTTCATAGTCGCCATCTAGCAAAAAACAAAAGTACCTTTAAGATCGAATTTGATTTTGTCCATTTCTCTATTGTCTAGTTTCTCTGAAAACTAATTATCACCGAGATGGCGACACCTGAAAATTAACTTAACGCTGACCCTTTTTTATTAACTTAACCCTGACTACTAGTGTAGCAACTGGTGGATATTATTCAGTGAGAGAAAATAAGAATGCACAGAATAAGAAACTTTCGATGGGTTGGGCTTGAATTGCGCTGTCAAAAGGCGCCAATTACAATTGAAATGAGAGCAGCTACAATCTATATCATCAAATTTTACCATGTTATAAGATTACCAATGAAAGTACACAATGTTTTATAGAAGCAAAGTAAAATTTTAATCAATGTTTTTACTGACAAAAAAAAATTTCATGGACAAGGGCAAGCAAAAAGGTGTGGTGAATGTTGTTTGCTTAATCTTCCAATTCAGGAATTGGCTCATCATCTGAATCTTTTTCATTATCATCCAAATCATCTAAATCTGAGAGAAAGAAAAAACCAGAACATCATTAAAATCAAAGGTACCAAGTTAAATTGATTTAAAATAAGTTGACAATCACTTACCGCCGCCTCCTAAGCCACCCATTTGTCTCATCATCTCCTCGAAGCCGCCACCATCACCTGGACCCATGCCCATAGATTCAGCTTCAGCATCTGAGTCATCTTCATCTTTCCACTTATTGAAATCAATTTTTATCCAGTGGAATTTTTTGTCTTCAGCCGATAGTCTTTTCCAATAAGGAGCTGAGTCATCAGCTTTGATTAAAACAAATTCAATACCTCGACCCCTAACATTATATTTTGACTCATCTGGTTTAATTTCTGCAAAAAGCTGCAAATTGGCTTCATACTCTTTGTTATCAGCACCACCTTTACCCTTGAAATACAATGACTGTTTATCAACTTTGATGGTGGGATCAGCACATTCTTCAATAGCAATTCTGACATAGACCAAATTTTTACGCTGGGCCCAGTAAAAAGGTGGTGGAGGAAGTGTCCTGCAACAAAAAAAAGCACATGGAAAGACGTTGATAAAATCATTACGTTTTTCAAGATAATTTTTAAATAACACTAGTTAATACTTACTTATCACTTGCCATGATTAATTTGGAAAATCAAAAAATTAAATACGAAAATTGATTGAAAAACTAGAAATATATATTTCAACGTTAAATGGATATTAAACAAGATGACGGCAAATCAATCCAGCAAAGTGGTGTTGCTTTATTTGTTGGATCAAATAAAGTGAAAAATGTAAATCGATACATCGATGTAAAAAAATATGGCTGATGATGATAACTCGATTGCATAAGATTAGATTATGAAGATTTCATTATTGATTGATTTAATGATTTTTCTTAACATTATATCAACCATTTGAGCCATCAAGTTTGCTCAAGCGATCATGTCAGTATCTGTCGCAGTTCAAGCAACAAATTTAATAAAGTCAGCTTACAGTGAAGCCTTTCAAAAATATTGCGATTAAAATTTAAGCTTCATCAAATAAAATCATATTTTATTGTAACTTTATCATAATTTATTTAGATGTTGAATTTCAAGTCTTTTAATGAAATAATGACACTCATCAATGATCAAATCATACTTATGATGATTCCTTTTCGATGTAGAGCAGGTCTTCAATCGCTAATAATTGTATTTGGGAAGTAAATATTCAGTTTTTTGACACTTGCTTACAGAATGATCATGAGCATCTGAATCATTATTTCGACTTATTGAAAACAAAAAAATTTATAAAAATAATTGAAATACATTGACAAGCATACAAAATTGCAAGTAAATTAAACTTCCGTCTAACTTATGCATTTAGCTTCAGTAGAAATTTTTCCTTTCTTAAGACGTTTTGGTTAATAGGACCATTCTTGAGCCTCCAGAAGGATGAACTAATAGTTCCAATGATTCTGATCCTTTAACGATTCCAAGATTAGCGTAATCAGAGCTAGTTTCCCAAAGATCGACAACTTCAAACTGTGATTCTGAGCTTTCCTTGGGAAGTAAGGTCGACAATGGAACGGAAAACTATAGACAGATAAAAAAGATTAGTTTGATTAGTTCCACACAAAAAGTTTAATTGATGCAACTTACATATTCAGGGTTACCGAGAGGTTGATTGTTATAATAAACAACAGCATAAACTGTTTTACCATTTCTTGGCTTCATCTCTTTAGTCCAGGCTTCAAAGTATCGGTCCTAGAAGAAGTAATACAATTTGCATGAAATTAAATCAATTTTTATGTATCTTCTTGCCTGCGATTAAGCCTGATTAGTTACCTTTGGAGCATCATGAACCATTCGTCGAGCCATTTTACCTAAGGGATCTTGATTGACCTCAATTACTTTACTATTTTTAAGAATCTTCTTTGCGGAATCACTAATTCGTCTCAAATCATTTGACATATACAAAGGTGATGACCACATAGACCAGAAAGACATTTGTGTTTGCCATTGATTTTCGGAAAGACCGTAATCTCCAATGACCAACATGTCAGGATCCAACCACATTCCAGGTCCTGTTTGAAAAAGGGACATGAAATTATTTTAGCGTATGATAATTTTTTAAATGAATAAATTACCATTGTAAGATATAAAAGTATCTTGGTGATCGCCATAAAATTGGATGATACTGGAAACACTTTGCCAAGAATCTAAAACATCATCATGATTTCGGTACATATTACAATAACGTGATATGGCATCATAGTTAGGAGTAATATTGGCATTGAACTGGTACAAAGGCCATTCACAGTGGTAAATGATTGAAGCACCTAATTATAAAAAGTGAAATTAACAAAAATCAGTCAAAAAGATAGAATGGTTTACAAAAATATAAAAAAATTGTGTAGAATGAGATTTTACAGCCGAACCAAGCACAAGTAAAAAGCTTACCAGTTTTGTTAAGAGCGGTCGACATTTTAGGATAAAGGGTATCGAAATTTGCTGGATCTTCGTAACAGCCATCAAATTTGAGTGCATCGACGCCCCATTCAGCAAAGGTCTGAGCATCAATCTCGAAAAAGCCCTCTCCTGGACCGTTCTGTCCTGGATAACTGAGGAGAATTGATATTTTTATCGTTAAAAAAGGTTATAATTTTCAAGCTAGAGTTAGAACCAAATTGAACTTACCCAGCGCATGTGAGTGAACCAACATCACCATAAATACCTAAACGAAGTCCTTTTGAATGCATCCAATCAGCTAAAGCTTTAATTCCGCTTGGGAATCGTTTTTTATGGGCAACTAATCGTCCAGTTGCATTATCTCGTTCCAGTTCAGACCAACAGTCATCAATGGCAACAATGTCGTATCCGAGCTCCAGGTACCCATCTTCAATCAACTTTTCACCCATTTGTTTGTACAAATTTTCATGGATACAAGTGTCTGGATATTTTACACAATCGGTTACACAAGTGAATCTAGCCCATGACAACCAGCCCATCGGTGGTTTGAGGGCAAGTCCATTGTCAAGTCCATTTACAGTGGCGATGAAAAAGAGTAAAGTAAAAATAAAAAGTTTCATTTTAAAACACTTATGAGCGTAATACTGCGCTAATGACTATTGATACATTAAAATCATCTATTTATATTATTACAGAGCCGACAACAATAGTCTAGAAGGTTTAGCAAAAAAACAATGAACCAGAAATCAATAAGATTTACAAAGAAAGATTAGATACGAAATTGTATTATGAACTGATTTTCACTGGGTTTTTATGAAGATTTAAAGATAAATTGAGACCAAGAAAGTTAATAACAATGGATAACTCTATTGATTCCAGATATATTAATAGTACAAACTCATCAAGTTTAGTTTAACACTAATAATGCACATAATAAACTTGCACAATTATCTGGATTCCCCGCGACGATTAATTGTTCATTTTTATTTGTCGAACAGTTTATATCTATGAAGGCCACCGAGTAATTGATTTTGAGACCAATGGATACAATAATGATACGGATAAAAATTATATCTTTGCAATATGCACAGTTAAAGATTTGAAGAAACTCCTTCAAATTGGTTTAGTTTCTGATCATTTTGTTAATTAATGAACAACAAATGAATTCAATTTGAACTGATTTTCTGTGAACTTAATATTTGTGAAAATGTCCTTATTTGAGCAAGATTCAGAAACAAACAAACCAAATCGACAAACTTACTATTTGTTGCTGGATCTCGATCATTTTGATAAATAGCCAAAGGAACATCTGATTTGCTTATAAACATAGAAATTAAATTGATGGACTTTTAGGTCCATCAACTTTTGGTTTATTGATTAATAGTCCTGAATTGATCAAATATGAGCTATGAGCTTTAACAATAAGGTCTATCATAAAAAATTGACCAAATCAGTCTAGAGTTGAAAAGGACAGAAGATGGATATCGATGTGTTAAAGTAGAGTCAGAACGTGAGATGTTTGTGTTTCATTGTTCTTTTTATTGAGAGCTTGTAACAATTTTTCTGTTTTGGGCAGAAAAATCAGAGCTGTGAACAATTTATGAACTGAATAAAACAAAGTTCTTTCACGTGATCAGGTAAAAGCAAAATAACAAATATGACAAGACGAAGTCGAATTCAAAATGGGTACATAAATACACCCATAGCACTATTAAAACACGTTTACTTAAATAATTGTTGATAAATCAAATTGTTCATCAAAATTGTTCTCGATTTCAGTGTTTTTTTCCTCTATTTTCTTAGTTTCACTGAAGTAAGAACTTTTTTTGTTCCATGGAAATACAGTATTATGCTCATTCTTCTTGTAATTGGAAATAATTGGAACAATATATCTAGAAGAAAGACTATCATTCTTTCAGTTAACCGAAGTTTCATAGAAGAAGATAAGTAGAAGCAGGTAAAATTGACATTGATAAATAAAGATATCCCTTCTTTAAGAAGGATTAAATGAAGATACATTAATTAGGCAAATGCATTCAGAGTATTAAAGTAACAAAGACATTTTTTTGGTGAGAAGCGAATCAGCCTTTGTTTTGGATATTTTGGAAACAATTTACAAAATAAAAGAAGAAAACAAAATGAAGAAAAATAGCCTACAATACCCGGTCATCGTGCCTCAACCGGGGAGCATGTACATTGGATCAAAATACTGAGAACAATAGTGATTAGATGTTAAAAATCCTAAAAAAGGAAGTCGATTCAAGTTTTTATCCATTGTACGATTGAATTGATTTGTATGCGTTGATCACAGCGAGCTACTATTTTTAACAGCATTGAATAAATTCCATGGTTCGGAAAATATTTGAGTTGGTAAAGGAGCACAGTGCTGTTCGTTAAAGTCAACAAAATGTTTGGATGCCTGAAATCAAACAAAATTTATTTGCTATTAGTTTTGTTTTTAATTAAAGTTGGTTATAATTTATACTTACAAGGAATAAAGAAAGCTGAATCTTTTGGCTAACTTCCAAATTTTCACCGACCATTAGAGGATATTGAGACCTATTTTCTTCATCTTCCTTAATAAATGATTTGAGGACGGACATGCAAGATGCAGGATCAACGTTTTTGTTACGACTGATAAGTCCTGAAAAAAACAGTTTGAAATTAAAGTTAACACAGTGAGCTTGGATATACATTTTATCAAATTAATGAGATGGTAATTATCAAATTACACTGAATGAGAAATCGATATGGTAATTAAATGCTTATTAAACTTACTTTGGTTTTCAAGGCCTCCTGATAACCATTGTTCTAATGTTTCACAGACTTTCTCATCCTCCATGAGAATAGGAAATCTTGCTTTGAATAGTTTAAACAGAATATCGTTAGCTCTGTTTGTTTTTGTTGGTTCATCTTCACTTGTGTTGATTATCTCATCTTGAGTACGACGTATGATTAAAACTGGACCTGAATACCGATCTAAATGGGCAGAAACATTCAAATTGAAATAATTTTTAACTAAAGGAATAACAAGAGGTGTCCACAGCGAAGGCATTTTCGCGAGTGCCAAAGGACTTATATCATCAAAACATGCATCCAAGATAAGCCCTTTGATATCTGGATAGGTCATTGCTGCCCATGAAGCCGTATAACCTCCAATCGACCATCCCATTATAATTATAGACTTTTCACTGAAACCCAGTTTATCGATGGCAAATTTAACGACAACATCAACAGCAGAGACTTCATTCTCTGGGAATGGCAAACCAGTGCTTCCACCAAAACCAGGATGATTCCACCCAAGTACGGAATAATCTATAAAATTATATGAAATGAAATGATTTAAAGACAAATTCACAAACAGAGATTAAGAGTTATTGATAAATAGTCAATTTACCAGTATGAAGAGGGGTAACAGTAATTCCAGTTTCATAAAAACCAGCATTTCCTTCGCAGCAAATAACTAGAGTTTGGCCCATTGATGATCTCGATCTTCGATCCACAAACATAGTATCAATCTCATCACCATTTTGAGCGAGAAGCTTATATCTTCTACCATTATGACGCTCAACGAGTCGTTTTCTCCCATCAACTAAGCCTGGATGAACTAAGGTTTGAAGAAGTGAAACGGACCCGGGATAGATCATACGCCGACCAATGGTTTGTGCAACAAGAAAGGTCATTACATTACAAGGTAAAGCTATTAACTTGTTCATTAGTGTATCATCAGAACGTCTCGTCCGTCTCTGAAGAGGGGCTGGAGGCTTAGCAGCGTTGGCAAACTTTGATTCATTCCACTTAAAATCAACTGGCCAGTATGCGAAATCAAAATCGTACTGATGTAGCAATGATTTTGAATTTTTTTGCTCTTCTGGGGACATTTTCTTTATACGGTTCAGTACACTAACAAAATCAACGTAATCATTGTTACGCATTCGGGAAACTCCACGAGACAAGAAAGCAACGAATGCAGCAATTGATATTAAACCACCAAGTCTTACAACAGTCGAAACATATTCATTCGATACTGATACATTAGGACTAAGAGTAATGATTCCTCGACGGTGAAGGAAAAAAAGCAGAATAGGCGAAGAATAGAAGCCAACAGAACATGTGAAAGCAACAATGCGAATAATTCGATCACTTAGTGATTCAATAGCTTTGGCCTGATAATCGCGACCCTGTAAGATATAAAAAATGGCTTTCATTAGATACAGTGTAGAAATAGAAGAGAATCGAACCGAGAGACAACTATAAATTAATTGTAACATTATAAATATTAGTGATAGTGAAACAAATGAAGCAAATGTTAAGGAAAAAAAATCAAAAATTACCAACAGTATTCATCTGCTCAAAAGTCAATCAAGACTGTTGTTTTTTCTAGCAGCCATGGTCTATTATAATCTATTTAAGAATTGTTAATGGTCTGTAATTAATAGAATGCAGCTAATTTTATAGAAAAATCAATTCACAAGAAAATTTTTTAACCATCTAACATAAGGAAAAGGATATCTTTGCAGTGACTTCATTCTGATAGGTTTGTTTAGAAATGAAAGAAAAATTACAAACCGTAAGTTCAGCAGAGCCATGGACTCGATAAAGCCTTGGGCCAAAGATACAGTTAAGAAAAGAGGAATTCAACATGATTTAATTGATTACTGTGCGAAGGAAAACAGAGGAAAAACAATCACATCTCAATTTTTCAAAGTGAAGTTTCTGAGAAACTGGTTTATGGTTCCTAAGCAACCAAGAGAAGCAAACAATACAAAATTTATCGAAACATTAAATTTGAAATTTTCTTGACATCTTTTGAAAACAAGTTTAAAATTCATTATCAATATCAGAATTAATTAACTTGAAGCAGAAATGTTGATGATTCAGATTTAAGTCGTGTCTTTTCAAATCATTTCCTTAATTGACTCTTTTTGGTGATTACATTGAAAGACAAAACTTTACATTTTTGACTTTCAATCTTCATTTTCAATATTGGTTCTTATATTGTATATAAAAATGATCAAAACTCAAGAAATTTGGAGTTTCAAGGTACAATCCTTAGGAATTATATTAGAGACTCTGCATTGTGAAACCAAACTAAATGATTGATAATAGTTATTTTAAGCTGATTTGGTGATCCTCTGTATTTCGCTGTGATAAAAGACACAATCGCCTATTTCACCTGTGCGATTTTAAATGCAAAACAATAAACAGAGCATCATCAATTTAACAGACATCATAATGATCAGGCACCAATTTGAAAGCTAAATTAAAAAATCTGGTAAATGGATTTACAATAGATTTTACAATCGTATAACTAGAAAATTGATTAATAACTCAATTGTCTAACATCGAAATTGATTGATTGTTATGCGATCCAAAAGAAAGAAGACATAATTTTTTAAATCAATTACAATCCAAACGTCTGTTTAATTCTGTAAACAAGAAAAATAAAAATGAATGAAAATGAAAAATGTAAAATGATTAATTACAATTTATATGATCACAAATTTTTAGTAGAGTATATAAAGACCATAGCTTACTTCAGAAATTTATAGTTATATCACAAGCTCACCAACTAAACAAAAAGTACTTTAATGTTTAATTGAGTTGTGATACACACAAATTAATAGTAATCTAAATTATAAACATGAAAAATTTAATATTGTTAACCATCTTTTGGTTTGCTTCAATCAACTGTCTTTATGGTTATAACGTTCCAGTTGGAGTCGGGCAAACAGAACAATTTACCAGTAACATTGGAGTTAATGGTGGAAGCGGACAATCATCAGTATCACAGTCGAGTTCAGTCAATGTTGGACTCAATGGAGGAAAAAGTGTTATAACCGAATCACGTTCAACATCAGCAGCTAATGGAGCTTTAACTTCAAGTATGCTCAACGGACAATCGTCTTTTGGTTCATCACTTGGTAATGGAGCCCTTGGTAATGGAGCCCTTGGTAATGGAGCCTCTAATCAAGCTTCATATTTAAGTGTTTCCAGTTCTTCGATGCCAAATGGTTTAAATAGCCAAGCCTCATATGAAGCTTCACATAAAGCTATTGGTATTGACTCTGGCTTAGGAAACTCTGGCTCTAAGATAAAGGCAACTTCTGTTTCAGTAACAGACTCAGGATCTGGTCCATTGAATAACGTAGTTTCATCAACAGTATCTTCAACTAAATCCCAATCAACCTTCTCAAATCCACTCAATGGTAATAAGAATGAATTGAATATTCAAACTGGAATCGATGTTGATTATGATGATGACTATAATAACGATGACAACCAAAGCCTTCAAAGTTCTTCATCATCTATGTATAGACCACGAAGACCCTACGGAAGCAGAGGATGTAAAGATGAAGGTATTGTTATTTACATTAAACCTGAGAGTCGATGGGGTAGAATCGGTAGAAAATCAATCGCTAACGCTATGGCTTCAAGAAGACGATACTCAACTGGCTCAACCGACTTTGATTCCTATGATGATAATAGTGATGATATAGACACCAGTGATGATGACGAAGAAGAAAATGAATACAGACAATCTAGAAGACAAACGGTTCGAAATGATGTCACTCTTGGATCTCGTTTCCAGATCAACCCACGCAGGCGAGGTTCACTCAGTAGCCAGTCAATTCAATTGGATGGTAAAAATTTTGTAAACCAACGATCAGTGATGGACAAAAGCGAATTCCTTGCAAGAAATGATGCTTATCGTCGAACACAACAAGCCAGAGCCTTTGCCAGATCAAGTCAATATGATGGAACTGATTCAAATGTAGAAGATGCATCATCAACAACTGGCGAATTCAACCAAGTTATCAACAATAACAAAAAATTGAGATCAGCCAGTACACAAGTTAATTCTCAACATAATCGTAGAACCAATCTTAGCTACAATTCAAACGATGAGAATTCAGATGATGTAACTATGGAGGATCAAACATCAGTAACCGCAGGATTGAACCAAATTCGGAGCGATAGAAGGACCAGATCAGCAACATTTAATAAGCGTATTGATTCCCGTAATAGTCAGAGATTCGACCAGAAGCACAATTTCAACAGTGAGAACATGAACGATGAGTACAACATGAATATTGATCAGTCATCAGCTGTTAACAATAATGAGCGCCAAATTAACCAGATTAATCGATTAAATCGAAACAGCCGGGTTAACCGTAGCAACCGATACAATCGTTTTAACCAAGTCAACAATGTAAACTCAGTTAATGAAAATTATGATGTTAATGATATTTCCAATGTTGAATCTGTTGATAATAACTACGATGTCAGAAGATCAACCAACTACCGATCCAACAGAAACCAAGCCAATATTAATCGATCAACCTCTCACCGTCGACAAACTAACTTAAATTCAATCAACAACCAGTTCGATACTCGATCAAGCATCGATTCAAACAGTGTTAATAATAACCAATACGAGGCTTCCCGATCTTCCTTATCAAATGTTCAATCAACCAACAACCAAATTGGTATTAATCGATCAGTTAATTCTCAGTCCAACCTCAACTACAACAACCTCAACCAATATGGCGTTTCTCAGTCATCCAACATCAACTCAATTGACAACAAACAAGTGGACATTAACCAATCATCACAGACAAACTCAGTCCGAAACCAAGCAGAAATCAACCGATCAAACAGCGTTTCAACCAATAATCAGATGAACACCGATCTATCAACAAACATTCAATCGCAAAAAAACTTCAGTAACAACCAATATGGGGTTTCTCGATCATCAAACATTAACTCAATCAACAGCCAAGCCGACATCAGTCAATCAGCAAACATGAATTCAGCTATGAGCCAAGTAGATATTAACCGAGCCAACACCCAATCAACCAATAATCGAATGAACATCAACCACTCAAAGAACATTCAATCGGAACAAAACTTCATTAACAACCAATATGATGTTTCTCGAAACACAGCCAGCAACCAAGTAAACAGCTACAAGAACAACAACTTCAACAATAACCAATATGGTGTTTCTCAATCCTCAAACATCAATTCAGTCAACAAACAAGTAGACATCAACAGATCCGCAAGCACTAACTCAGTTAATAATCTGGTCGATATCAACAGATCAACAAACATCCAATCTCAGAACAACTTCAACAATAACCAATATGATGTCTCGCGATCATCAAACATTCAATCAAACACTAATTTGATCAATAACCAAGTAGACATCAACCGATCTTCAAACGTCAATTCAGTAAACAAGCAAGTCGACATCAACAGATCCACCAACACTAACTCAGTCAATAACCAAGTAGATATCAACAGATCCACAAACTTACAGTCAGTTAACAACTTCAACAATAATCAATATGATATTAACCGATCATCAAACATTCAGTCAAACACCAACTTAGTCAATAACCAAGTAGATATTAACCGATCATCAAACATCAATTCGGTCAATAAACAAGTGGACATCAATCGATCCTCAAACACCAACTTAGTCAACAATCAGGTCGATATCAACAGATCAACAAATTTGCAATCGAATACCAACTTGATCAATAACCAGGTAGACATCAACCGATCTTCAAACGTCAATTCAGTCAACAAGCAAGTCGACATCAACAGATCCATCAACACTAACTCAGTCAACAACCAGGTCGATATCAACAGATCAACAAATTTGCAATCAGTTAACAGCTTCAACAATAACCAATATGATGTTTCACGATCATCTAATATCAACTCAGTCAACAAGCAAGTGGACATCAATCGATCCTCAAACACCAACCTAGTCAATAACCAAGTAGACATCAACCGATCATCAAACATCAATTCAGTCAACAAGCAAGTAGACATCAACAGATCTGCCAGTACTAACTCAGTCAAGAATCAAGTCGATATCAACAGATCAACAAACGTACAATCACTTAACAACTTCAACAATAACCAATATGATGTCTCGCGATCATCAAACATCCAATCAAATACAAACTTGATCAACAACCAAGTAGACATCAACCGATCTTCAAACGTCAATTCAGTCAACAAACAAGTAGATATTAACCGATCATCAAACATCAATTCGGTCAATAAACAAGTGGACATCAATCGATCCTCAAACACCAACTTGATTAATAACCAAGTAGACATTAATCGATCTTCAAGCACCAACTTAGTCAACAATCAAGTAGATATTAACCGATCAACAAATTTGCAATCGAATACCAACTTGATCAATAACCAGGTAGACATCAACCGATCTTCAAACGTCAATTCAGTCAACAAACAAGTGGATATTAATCGATCAACAAACATGGCTGCGACCACTAATAATAACATGTTCTCATCAATGAATAACAATTATGATTCTTCTGTTTCACGCAATGCCCAAAGCTCATCCTTACTTGACAAGTCATCGTCAATAAATAGCCAAAATTCCCGTCAAACTGTTGGCTCAACTTACAATAATCAAAATCAATTCAGCTCATCAGTTAATAACGCTTTTGATTCTCGTAACCACCAATCATCTGTTGCCCAGCAAAACAGCGTCAATATGCAGAAAAATGCAGTAAACATGGAACAATCATCATCTATCAGTGGAACCTCTGTTAACGATCAAAACATTTCTAAATCAATCAGTCGGTCATCAACAGTCAATAATAATAATGCTCACTACAATTCCCAAAATTTACAATCAAACGCCCAATTTGTTTCAAGAGACTCTCAAAACTCATTGACTTCCAACAGAGTAACCTCATCAAATGCTCTGACAAACTCTCAAAATTCAATCAATTCCCAATCAAACCGAGCTTTAAATTCAAATAGCTTAAGTCGATCTTCAACCTCAGTGAATGATCAATCAACTTTACAAAATGTTCACAATTCCCTTTCAAATGGTTTCAATTCAAATAGCCTCAGTTCATCAACAATGAATAATGCATACAATTCAAATTTGGTTGATCAATCGTCAAACATTCAAAACTCATTGACTTCCCAAAACTCTGTTAACAATGCCTTCAATTCAAACAGAGTCAGCCAATCAACTGATATTAGAAATTCTGTCAACAATCAACAATCTTCCACCAACTCATTTAGATCATCAACTGACTCACAAAATTCAAACAGCTTAAAGTCAAACATCCACAGATCTTCAGATATGCGATCAAACCAAAACTCAGCTTTAATGTCATCAAGTCAAAAGTCAATGTATGATTCCAGTAAAACCTCAGCTAAATCAAACTTTGCCTCTTCATCATCATCTAACTCCAATTCAATGAACCAAATGAGAGGACAAAGTTTAACCTCTAATGGAGGCAGTTCAACATCATCCTCAACCAACGGTATGTCAACCGGTTCAGGAAACTCAGGAAACTCAGGTGGTCTTGTTGGAACCGTATTGAATACAGCAACAAGCCTTTTAGGAGGCTCAGGCTCAGGATCAGCTAGTGGCGGCAATGGCGGTGGATTACTCGGTGGTGTTATCAATACTGCAACCAGCCTTCTTGGCGGTGGCTCTGGATCATCTTCACAAAGCTCAACCGGTTCAAGTGGAGGTCTTCTTGGTAGCTTACTAGGAGGTGGTTCATCTTCATCCAGCTCTGGATCATCAGGTGGTCTCCTTGGTCTAGGTGGATCTTCATCAAGCTCAAGTTCAGGATCATCATCTTCTTCAAGCTCCTCAGGAAGTGGTGGTCTTCTCGGTGGACTTCTTGGTTAATCAAGTTAACCCCTAGATTCGATAAAAATAACAATCCAATTTCCCTTTCCTTTGTACTAAGCTTTAAACAATAAACATGAATACAAGCAATTACCAGTAATCATTAATTCAAATCATTTACCAATCCAAACATTAAAACCTTTAAAATAATGAAATCTTGGGCCAAAACATAAAGCAACTCAAATAATCATAATCTAGACAATTACCTAGATTTCCCTCTAGATTATCAATTCTTATAGATTAATTGAACCATTTACAGGGAAAATAAATTCAAATCAGAATTTACTTTAATCGTAAAAAGATGAAAAGACATTACCATTAAAATGTGAATAAGCAAAACAAAAATTCAATACTTTACTAGAGACGCAAATTACCTTCTCAACCATTTTATATCAAACTCGAGACATTTTCCTTCAGGCAAAGGTTAACCATTCAAAATACAGAATCGAGAAAATTTTATTGACACAATTTATCGATTCAACAAATGAAAATAATCATGAACGATATCAAAATGATACACAGGAAAAAAATGGAAAGAATAAAATAATTTAATTTGGCATAAGATGCATTGGAAAATGTTGAATAATAAAATGAAAAGTGTTTAATGAAGAGGCAAAAAGCAAATCAAAAGCATCTAAAGTTAAATCAAGTCATCATTTTTGTATTAATAATGACAATATAAAGTATGAAGAAAAAAGTTAATTCAATAGTTAATAATGATTATAATAATGGCAATGTATGGATAAAGATGAATGTTGCCATTTTGTATTCAACTTTTTTTTCGTTTTGTTTCCTCTTCATCTCAATATAAACTCAATTTTCAGCTTCATCGATCAATCAATGAAGAGTCACAATGTGATAGCAACAAATTCATTGGTGCATGTAATATTGCTCAGAAATATGGATATAATAATAATATAATGCTATAATAATAATAACAGGCCTAATATGATACAAAAATTTTGTTTATTTGTAAACCTTTAGTCAAGTCAAGTTGAACAAGGCAAGAAAATTTTGTATCTTTTTCAAAACAAGGTAATGAGTTGAACCAACAATTGATTCAGATTGAATCCAAACCTAAACCTAAACCTTTGAAAATGACTGGAAATAATTAGGGCCAATGGTCAGTGGATTGATTTGTTGTTTAATGTTTTACAATTAAAAAAGTCTTTTTTTACATAATATTGAATGGATCATTTTATCACAGAGTTAAATCACAAAGAAAAATATTCAAACAATATTTCGAATCTCATTTGTGGCTTCATCCAACTTCTCGAGCTACTCATTTTCAGACTCAGGATTGAACTTTTCAACTCTTTATGATTATGGGAATGTTGAGTGAATAAAGTGTACACTTTGTTTCTTTTTGTTGGAGATTTTCGTTTCGCTCTTCTCTGATTATCTTCCAAACTAAATTTAGTTTAATCCTTTGAGTATCATTAAAGTCTCATGGTCAATTGAAGGGAATGAGAAATGAAAAATTTTCTTGGTGAAATGAAAAAAAGAAAGATGAAACAGAAGAAAATAAAGGTAAAAAGAAAAATATATTTCCTTCTTCTTCTCAATTTACAAGCATTTTCAGTGTATTACCAAGCCCAAAGCAATGGACAGATTAAAGTAAATGAAATTGTGGTTAAACTTGTTAAGCTGTTTACGTTTGTTCATTGAATGAGTTGAGAATCGTGTTGAATATGAGCCTCGATGATGATGATGATGATGTTTTTTGAAATGTTGGATAAACTGGTCATGAAAAGAAAAGAAAAGAAAATTTCATTAATTCAATGATAATACACAAAGAGAAAGTTAAAGAAATGAATGAGCTTTTCATTTGCTACCGAAAATGAAAATTAACGGTCAAAAGTGACCCAAAAAGTCAACATTTAGCTCATCTCTTAGATAGTACAATGATTAAAACTTCAATCTTGATCCATCCAACATGTCAACATGTGTAAATCCCACTGTTTTTGATTTGAAGGATTTTGGTTTGGATAAAATCAAAATCAAAATCCAATCTCTTGATGAAAAATAAATAAATTAATAAATCATGTTGGGTTGAAGCATGGTTAACCAGTATCTAGTCAATCTAATCCATGATTTAAATCAAGGTCTGATCTTGTGAGTTCAATGCAAGACCATTGACTCTGCTTGGTTGTGGTTAAGCTTCACTGAGGCCTATTCACAAGACAATATTCACAGTCTTGCTTTGCTTAACTAAACCCTAAGTGACAGTCTAAGTCAACCTAATAGTCTTAACCTGTCGGGTTGAACTTGATGTGTTGAAGTGGGTCGAATGGATTGATATATTTTACTCACTTTATTATAAACATTGGACCAGAAAGTGAAAAATGAATAATTTTATTTACTCCATAATTATACTGATATATTTATCTATATTATTAAACCAAAGTTGTTTTGTTATCAACAATTGCCAATGGACTGAGTTGATCCCTGGGCAGTTGAAATGAAATCTAAATGATAAGATGAAAATGAAAATGAATAAGGTCATTTGGATTGAATAATTTAAAACAATTGAAAATGGACTCGAAAAACTCAACTGTTACTTCACTTCCATCACAAGAGATTCGGATGTTTTTCATTAAACTTGTATCAGTGATAAGCTCGTTGTCTGAACAATCGGCAGCAGTTACAGAATCAATTAAAAGTTGATTACAAGTTTCACTTATCAACGATAATTTTGATTCCTTTTCACCATTATCTTCCAAAGAAGTAGATAAATTTCGTAGACGAACATGTTCATCAGATAGAGTTGCCTGCAACAGAAGAAAAAAGAAACGTAAAGTCATCATGGGAAAGAATAAAAAATAAAAATTCTTGACAAAACTCCCAGTAAACTCCCAGAAGGTTCAATTTTTTTCTCTTTCATTTCAATATCGAGATATTTAAATTGACTGACAATTTTTGTTTTCAACTTTCCTTCGAAAAGTTGAACCAATCGATTGAAACTTTAATCATTAATCACACTGTCGAACCTTTATTTACCTCAATCGTATTCACAATTAATTGTCACAAAGTTTCTTTTATCACAAACTCGAGTTGAATGATTATTCCTCATTCAATTCAGGTGAGTGAAAATGTTTCACCATTTATAATGAATTAGACACAATTCATCTTGAAAAATATTGCTCCAAAACTGAATAATGCCGAAATGAGTTCCATGACAATCATGAGGAAAAAAAAGTCGAGATTAACTTGAACTTTTTTTTCATATTAAACCATGAAATTGATTTACTTTTCCATGCAAAAGAAAAGTGTCTTTTTTGAATAAATAAATTAACAAAATTGAAATTAATATCTAAACGAGCTTCTGACAACATTCAACTCTATCTTTTGGTCTTTAATGAATAATTACCATGTTAATGAGAGGTCATCTGAGAATAAGTCTGATGAGTTAATAAAAAAACATTTGCCATGCACTGTTGATGGGAAAAGGTAAAAATTCATGAATAATAATTGAGATAAATTTTTTCTCCATTAATTAATAATGAATTTAATCATGTAAATAATGTTTACAGGGAACGAGGAGAAACTCAAATTTATTGCTTATCCAATAAGGATAAACACCATTATAAATCTGATTAATAACAAGCAATTATGAAAAACTTTTAGAGACAAAAAGTGAATGTAGATAAAGTTCAGGGAAGCTCATGTTTCAATCGAACATTTTTTCCTCAACTTTTCTAAAATTTAGAACTTCTTGTCAAAATTCAATTCTCATCATGCACATAATACTCGCATTCAATTTCGCTCGAGAGTTTACTCAGATCTCAGAAAATCTTTACTCAGAATATTCTATCGAAAATTTCTCTGCAGAATTTCGCTTAAAACTTTACGTGCCAGAACTTTGCTACAGAAGAATCGAATTTCTTTCAGGAATTTTTTCCATGATTGCAGATTTTGATGTATTTCTCATTAGAATTTTCATGATTGTCTCGATGGAACGAATTTTGACGAATTTTTTTTCTCATTGACGAATGAAAAATTGTTTCGATTCTCATTTTTCATTGATTGGCTTTTATGGTTGATACATTTAAACAGCTTGATCCTGGTTAATATTGATAGAAATCTGTCAATTCTGTAATCTAACATGCTGAGGTTATCAGCGAACAACGATAAATCAAAATAAAGACCTTCTCAAAGTGAAATTCTCTCGACGAATGAGTGTATAATTATCTTGAAAAATATTGCAACGGCAAGTTGACAGGGAAAATGTGACCGTAAAAAGTGCAACATGAAATTGTCTTTTGTAATGTTATCGAGAAGAGACAGAAAAGTAAACTGAAAAGATATTATTTATTCTGCATTGTCATATTATTATCTCAACTGAATGTATATTTTGATATCACATGAGACTTTGGTCTCAAATTTTGGTCTCTTTTTTTCATCTCTCGTATGAAACGTTTCAAAATAACAATGTCCAAAAAGATATTTTTGGTTGCCTTTTCTTGCAATCAAATTAGAAGATGTTAGGAAATGTTACCATTTATGTTGGGAATGGCAATCATTTGATTATATTACATGATAAAATTTCGTTTTCCTTCATTTTATTTCCATTTCATTGGAAACCAAATTTGAAAAAGAAACAAAAATTTACTCTTTGCTTCAGATCAACTATTTTCAATTCAATTAATGGTTAAAGTTTTACAACGAAAAGTGAATCTAAATAAATCTAAATTGTTTCAAAATAAGTTTCAAGTTTGATATTCATTTCCAAGTAACTTAAGAACAGCTTGCTCATGATATCAAACCTTTGAATTGACAATAAACTGTTTTCCTAACAAGAGTCAAGATACTGTAAGAGGCAAAATTCGTAGTTGAACCGAGAAAAAAACACATTCATAATAATAAATGTTTCGAGTCGATAAATGTTGTCAATTTATTTTCGGTAAAATTCAAAGTTTCCCCGATTCCAATCGAACAGAGATTCGTTTCGTTTTCAACTTACTTTGAGCGATGAAGAAGATAATTGATATGATTTATCTATTGGACTGTCTGGTTGATGAATGGATCGTGCATTAACTGGAAGTTTATTTTGCTTTAATGTCATCTCAATTGTTTGCTTAATATTATGATAATCTGAAAGGGAAAGAGGAAAAGGTTGAGAAAAGTTTCAAGAGTTTCAATGAATAGAAATGAATGTTACCGTAAGGAGTTTGGAAACATGAGATGTCACCATTTGAAAGGCTTTTGTCGATATTAACTAAATCTAAAAGGCTTTTCTCTTTCTGAGTAATTCTTGGATATGACCTGAAAAAATAGAAGAAGAAAAGATGAACAAAAATGAATCGCTATTTTCAATTCAATTATGAAAAGGGTCATTTGAAACAAAACAAAAAGGGACTTACTTTGATTCATCATAATAACCAGTTGAAGGTCCAACTGTAACGAGAAAACACAATTGAAATTAGATTGGATTGTGAAACAGAAGGAAGAAAATGATTTTCTATTGTAAACTTTAAAGTCTATTATTCAGAGTATTCAATGATAATCTTGTAACTCTTGGGAGTTTTTCAACTCCAAGAACAAAAATTTCTTTGCTTCTCTTTGGCTTTAAATTGATGAAATTATTAGATAATAAAAGGAAACAAGAAAAGACTAAATGAGATTAAAAGTGAAATGGTGATTGATTTGAAAGGTTGGTTTGATTAATAAATGGTTCAATTGGAAAGTCACTGGAATTGAATGTAAAAGTAGATGAAAAAAGTAAAGGTAAACTTACCCTGTCTTCTGTCTGTAACCTCAACACGATGTGATTTGATTCTTATAACCAATATAATCATGATAATAATGAAAAGGATGATTCCAACAATGGCCATTAATATGACCAACAAAGGACTGTAAGTTTCCTCCCTGGTTATATCTGTGTGTTAAGAGGAAAGATGATAATAATGATGATAATGATGACCATGATGATCATGAGGAGGGAAAGGCTAAAGACGAAAGGCTGATTGACAATCTAAATGTTTATCCAAATGTATTACTTGCAATGGTTGTAACAACATTTAGATTGAATGCTAACTTTTACCAATCTCAAATCATCATTATCGATGAACATCTTCCACAGTCATCTTTAACCTTCCAGATTCATTCAATTGTTGAACATTAATTCAACTGTTAAACTTTATTTTGTAACTTTTCTCGAACCACTTTCTCATCATGTAACCAAATTGATTATTGATTGTTGGGGTTAACTGATTAAGATAATGAGCTGATTATCGGTGAATTCATTTTCAGATTTAGACTGTTTCTATTCAAGGTCGACTGTTGCAGCAATTTGCAATTTCAATCATTTCGATGAGATGAGAAAAATCGGAAAAATAATTATCGAAGTCGTATAAAGGCACTAATCAAGTCTCACTCCAATTAACTGGAATCAATAGCTTTGCAACAATCCAAATAAATCAGCAGTTGAAAGGTCTTTGGCCTGCAACATCTCTGATCTTATTGTACAGTGACTGTCCCATCGTTCATCAATTTGTACATTAATAAAGTTAACTTAAGACGGTTGTAGTGCGAAGCACAGAAATCGAACCAGTTTTAACAAGAAGCTAAAGTCGACTTAATTGAGTCCCATCTAAAACTAACTTTATTTGCTACTTGGGACTGCAGTTGTCTAATGTTGATTTACAATGAATATAAGGCAACTAAATGAGATTCTGCAATCTTGGATTTTTATGGATACAGCTTGGAACGGGGACTTTTCATCTTTTATCAGAATTTGAACTTTACTTTACTATTGAAGTTTGTTTAAAATAAATTCATGAAATTAAATTGGTTCTCAATCAAAATACCAATTTAAAGGATAATTTTTCTCATTAAAATTGGCAGGTTATTAAACTTTTTGCAAAATATAGCGAATCGTAGATGAAAGCAACGAGTCAATAGAATCTATTATCTCAATTTGAAATGTTACTGACAAAAAAAGAGAAAAATGAGCAAATTTCCGTTTCTTTTATTTCTCATTGTCTCAATTGAATTGTCCAGTCCAGAAAGGAAAATGAGATAATATCAAATGAACCAATGTTACAATAGAAAAATGTAATTCCATTGCAAAACATTTGATAAACATCGCAAAAAGGGACAGAAGATGCATAATAAAGCAAAGTCCAGATGATAACTGGTCCAATTTAAACAATAACTGGACAAACTAGCAATTGCAAAGAACAAGAAAAGTTGCAATTTCTGCTTCAAATCACTATTGATTGGACTTAATTTTTAACTTTGAAAGTTTTTCCTTAATTCAATTACAAGTTAAACAGTTCAATAATCAAAGCTTAGCTCATTCATCATCATAAATCCAATAACGAAAAACTTCAATAATGTAATAAAAAGAGGAAAAAAGCAAAGGAGAGAAAAAAAACTTTGAAACTTACCTTGTTTCATTTGATTATGGGTCATTGGCGATGGTGATAGACTTGCCTTCAAGGAAACTGGATCACTTTGACCTCCAGTAGTCTTAGAGTAAACAAACAAATCATAATAATCTTGTGGAGACAAATCTTGAAGTATAAAGGTTGGACGATCTCGATTAGTAAGGCTTAATATTTTCTCTCGAGTTTTCGCTTTGAAAACTTCGATAATGTATATTGGCATCGATACTCCGTTCAACGGAGCAGCACAGTCAACCAGTAAACCAGTCAACGAGTGGTTCTTCATTGTACAATTTTCAACCTTTTCTGGAACACCTAGAAACAGCAGAAAAAAGGAAATAATGTTAAACTTCTGAAGTCATGAAATGATGCAAAATTATTTTCAAATTGTGGCTTCGAACCGAGAAAATGGACACTTTTAATGCTCAAAGTCACTATTGATGATTAAATATGATAAAGTGAGTAAAAATAGTTTCACGTTTATGGCTTTGTTAGGCTTTTGGTTATTGTTTTTTGTGTGTTTTCATAATATGCTTGTCAAATGAACATTATATTAATGCACTCATTGACTGTTGTTGACAGACTTTTTGTTTTTTGTGTGTTTCACATTTTGCCATTTTCTGTGTTTCTTTATTCACTTTCAATATGATTAATCTTAAACCATCATCCAAGGATCATTTACTAATACTTCTGTTTCTAATGAGTCCTGGATAAATCAAAAAATATGAGAATAATGAACGATAATGGTTATTAGTTGTTGCAAGTTGAGATAAGAATAATTTTGCTTTTCTTTCTTTCGTCAGTCATTTAGTTGCTTTCGACTGTTGTTTTCTTGCGACCCATTTCGTCCAGTTATTTACTCTTTCGTTTCATGGCTGTTAAACCAGTCATTGATTATTGACAGTTGGTTGAGTCAGTCAATGAGAAATTAATGATTCTTGCGAATATAAAGACAATCTAATCAAATATACTGTATAATAGTAAATATAATATATCGAAAAGTGCAATATGGATATTGTTACGTTTCAAGTAAATGCTACAATAGAAATGCTACTTTTTTACTCGAGACTCTTGTTTTTAGCACATAATATCTGATGATATCTGAACAGAATGTTAATGTAAGTGTGTGTGTTCGGTCCAAATAAACAAAAAAACTTTTCCATTTCTGATAATAAAATTTATCCGACAATTTTTTATCCTTCATTATTGCTACTTGTGATTCTGTTTTACTGTGAACTCTTTTTTCTCTCCTTCTTTCCTATTATTACTTGGCTTACCAATTTGCCGAGTAATAGGTATAAGTAATTGGGTAAAGTTGGCAGAAATAAAGAACAAAAAAATGACAATAAATGAAGAGATAATTGAAACAATTGAGTTGCTACAATAACTGTAACAATCAGGCCAAGATAATTGACAATAATAAAACCAAAGCAAGTTATTAGCTTCACTTTTCCACTTTCTGGGATTCCTTTCAATTTCAAAATTTTACTCTCGTAACAAACCCAAGTAACAAGCAAAAGCTCAACCTAAAAGGCTAAGCACTTAGGACTAAACCAGACACTCCAAGACCAAACTGTCAAACTACAGAGAAAAGGTTTTTTTCAATTCTTTTGACTTGGAATGGAAAGTTGATGAAAAATATTATAAAATACTGTCTGATGCCTAAATGTCCTTTAAATTATTATAACTCAGATTCCACATGCATTTGATTTTACTGAAACAGAAAAAAACTTTTCTGACTTTTTAGCTTCTTGTTTAAGGTACTTTTATTCAATGTTCAGACTTTAATTACTTCAATATTATTGCTCTGTTATACTTTTGGAAGTATTAGACTTTTGAATATCAACTGAGGGAAAGTTGAGAGACTGTGAGTTTACAAAATTGACCTTTCATGTTGATGAAATTGTTTTTAACTTTACTTTTGCAAATCTCAAATCTTTTGTTTCTTTACCATGTAAACAACAACAAGACAAAACATCTTATTCTCTGAAAAATTTTCATTGTCAAACAATTTATCTTCAAGTCAAGTAAGATTTATGGGTTTCAACTTTAAATGACTTATTGGTTTTGCTTGTTCTCTTCGTTACAATTTTCTTCTTCCTTTCTTCTCACATTTTCCAATGGTGAACATTGCTCATGAATATTTTTCTTATCCATTCACACTCCTTTTATGCATACCATCCTCTCTTTACCTATCCAAGTCCAAACACTTTCATCTCTTTTTCATTCAACTAAAAGTGTACATTTTTGCCCTCATACAACATAAAGCACGTTATTCATACATGAACATCATTCAGCGACTAAAGAAAGATGGTGAAAAGTTCATTAATCATCGAGTTTCCATCATGATTTGCTTTTGAAAATGATTTAAAGTTAAATTTTTCATCGGCTCTTCTTGTCTCCTCTTGAATGTCAAATTTAAATTCAACAGCCTCAGACAAAAACTAGTCAACAAGAGAGTCTCTGTAATAAATAAACATTTCATGAGAAAAACAATTTTTCATTGAACCAATTTGATTCATCAATTCTCTGTATTTGGTGAAACAAAAGACTCTTCATCTTGTCTAACAATAAGTAAAATATCATTATGAGCTTGACCTGAAACCAAAAGTATATCCATCAATGAGCATCAACTTAAAGAAAACGGAAAACTCCAAAAAATGTAGAGTTTTGCTTTTCTCGCAGCTCGTCCATCTTAATCAATTGAACTTTAATTAGATGAAATTTCAATCATTTAAGTGCTGAGCAAGGATAGAAATTTTGAACAATTGAAACTTTTGCTGTGTAACCATCAAATGGCACCATAAATAACAAGCTTAGTATTTACAGTGAAAATGAAGGGACAGTAAAAGGAATACAAAAGTTGCTAATCCAAACGAATTGTTAATTCTTTTTGTCAGATAATATTTTTTCTCTCTAATAAATTCTCTCTTCTGGTAATGATAACACTTGGTGTAGCACTGGTTATGAAAGTGTAAACCATGAGAAAACTCTCGGCCAATGAACAGGAAAAAACAAGTTCATTGATGATAATCGATTTCATTGTTAATACCATTTGAGTCAACAGAAAAAAAACAAAACTCGAGATGAAATCTCACACTCTTTGTTTAGTTTGGCCTCTTCTCAATGTTTAATTCCCAATCAATCTTAATTAATTGTTGTATTGGTAATAATGATAAATGATATTATCAATCCATCATTTGGACTATTGATTATCCTAACAAAAAAGAGCAACAATTTTAGCTAATACAAAAGCACAAGTGCTTGTGAAAGCGAAAATGAAAAGAATCAATTTGGGTCGTTTTTGATTCAATGTGTAATGATAGTCGAGAAAATGGATTCCAGTTTTAAGCTAAATTCAACATCAAGTTGTATTTTCATGATATAACTGTAGGAAATTCGTTCAATAATCAACATTTATTGTCAAAAATGGGGCTTAGTTTTCATGGATGGTCGAGACTAAATTTGTAACTTTCAATAAAATAGTTGATCAAAATATCAGGTAACCAAATAAGTTTTAAACCTTTTCTTCCCATCAAAATTTCGATCTGAATTTGGTTGAAACAGTCATAACAACACGAAGAAAACTTATGAGCCTTTAATAATTCAAAATGAATTGATTTACTTCATTTTATGTTATTTAACTAAAGAAACTTTGCGTTTGTCGAAAAAATTGTCATTTTATAATTCATTTGTCGATCCAAGTGTTTGACAAACAATCAAATTAGACTTTAAAATTCAATTTTTTGCGCTTAAAATTAAAGTTTTAGCTCTGAAAAGCAAATTTATGTTCACATTTTTTGTCATTCGTTTGATTTACTAATCAAAATTGAAAAACAGTCCAATTTTTCTACCATCTTCGTGTTGCATATTGCAAAGAAAAGAGGGACTTTGAAATTGTTAATTAATTGTTGAAGCATTGATTGTTGGAAGAATTGAAATGTTAAGGGAAAGGTGACTTACCTGGAGGGATTATGTTGAATGAGCAGGGATCCTTTTGGTGTCCAATTGGATTGGATGAAGTACAATAAATTGACCCATAACCATATCTGTTTTTGGGTGAATAAAGTATGTGACTTGTTGTCTCGTTAACGGTATAATTGTTGATCCCATAATTGGTTGTTGAACTGTTCAAGAACCATTTGAATGATATCTGCTGTGGATCAGCGTCAACCGAGCAGCTTATCAAAGCTTCCTCACTGGCACCAATAGGATAGACTAATTGTTGATCAGGCTTACAAATTGGAGCAACTGCAAGTTGATGAATAGCGAAAAAGTCCGTGAAAAAGTAGAGAAAAAACAAATTGACAGAAAAAAAACATTAGAATAACATTTGAAGAAGAGAAGGAAAAAGAAGAGGAAAAAAAGTTGATTCAATGAAAGTGATTATCATCATTATTAATAATATGACAATGATATTAGAAGGAAATGAAAGAAGAAGAAAAATGATAATTACAATAATATAAGCATAAGGTTAATGAGTTTATTAAAAAAACGTGAATAAGCCAAGTTGACAGTTAACTTGATAATAAACTGTTTCGTTAATATGAAAAGAAGAACAAAAATTGGTCTTTCTCAGAGTTTCATGATTGTATTGATAATCGGTGTTAATGATTGTTTATAATGAAAGTCTTGTTTGTCAGTTTTGTTCTGAAAAAAAGAAGAAGAAAAGTTGAGAAGATAACAATGATAATGATGAAAATGATGATAATGATGAGGATGGCCATGATGGCGATGATGAAAATCTAAAGTTATTAGATTCCTTTACATTGAGCTTGTTGGCAACCAAAGGCATTCTCGCAGGGAGTAAAGATTATCATGCAAGTTAATTTTTTTTCCTGTTCGTTCGTTGAGACATTTTCATTCTCATCATTCACTCCAACTCCAATCATCCAACCCAAGCTGTATAATTATTTGGCTTACGGCTATTGGGCACCACAAATGTGACCCAACAGAGTAAAGATAAATGATGGTCATTTTGATTATCATTTTTTTTGGCAAAATATTGCAACTCGGAAGAAATGTTGAACCAGAAAAGTGATCAAACCTTGATTGATGATCGGCTAAATTTTATCCTCTGTAAACTCTGGGAGTGAAAAGAGGGAAAACATTGATAAGTTTGACGTTGCAAGTTGGTTGAGAGCAGAAATGCTTTTTGTTTCTTTCCAATGTTCATTTTCCTTCTTAAATTGAGTCTTTTTATTGATTAACCTTTTTCATATTCCAATGAATATTGATAGTCCATTTTTACTCAATGTTGCCTCATCAAGTTGAATAAATCTCATGATAATCTGAATACCTTTTAGCCTTTTTCTTGTTTACATTTCATGTTTAACAAGTGACATTTAATCATTTTTTATTTCACTTCAATTTAAGAGGAAAAATGAATCCAACTTGCAATTCATTTAATAAACAATTGATTCATTGGAATCTCCCGAGTATTGAAAATTTAATCTGTAATCAGTTTTTTTGCTTCTTGTTTTGGGCAAATGAAGGTGAAATGGAAAATTTTTTTCCAATAAACTTTTCTTTTTTGCTAGCATTTCCCTCTCTTACTCACTCCATGATGTACATTATTTTAATAACATTCAACTAAAGTAAACTTGTTATTAGTTTTTTTGTTTATTATCATTCTACTTATGCTTTTCACTTCTATTAATATTCTGTTCCATTTTTCATGATAACATTATCATGATGGAAGAACAAGATGAATCCAAATATTTATAAGCTTTTAGCTATTTTAGGTTCTACAACTGGAGGGACAAAGTTCAGCAAAAAGGAAAAAATTGATTCTAAAATTTCAATATTTATCGTTTTAAAATGAAAGGTTTCTGATCAACGACAAGAGATTCACCATTCGTCATCTTAAAATCGAGATTCAAAGTTGATTAGAAGCAGTAAAGAATTGATTAAGTTTTATTTCAATATCGAACCAAACATCTACATGAACATGAAGCCAGTTTCTTGAGAAATTTTGGTACATGATTAACTGTTCTGTAAATAGACAATCGACAAGTTCATAAAGTCTTGGATTCTAAACATCAAAACAGATTCGATGATTGGAGTAAGGAATTGAGTTTACGCTGCAAGTTTACGAAAGTTCTGTGCGAATATGCTCAGTCTGGTTAGAAGATTCAAATTTCGTTGAATGAGTTTCCAATTCCAATGAGACTTCCCTTGGATATAACAAGAAATTATCTATTGTTTTACAAAATGAATCTATTTTTTCTGAAACAAAGTAACTCTGAAACTTTATTCTTATGCTTCCAAAAATTTGAAAGATCAAACGAAAGTAATTATTTTGACCTTTAATATTGAAACCGATGAAACATAAATTCAAAGCAAACCACTTCGATTGTCGCTTTTAGGAATTTCAAAGCAATTATTTTTTCTCGTTGAACTTTTTCTTTTCACAGTCAAATTAACATTCCTTCTCATACTTGTCCAACCCTGGAAACTGTTTATTTTAGGAAAACTTTTAAAAGTGAAAGTTGATCATGAAATAGAGTGAAGAGTATAATAATAATCTGAATTGTGTTGACTGAATAATGATAAGCTTGGAAGATGTAAACAGATGAATTGTTCAACTGAATAACTGTGGATATAAAAGTAGGTAAAGTTTGCTCCATGAAAAAGTGTTGAAAGTAAAATAATGAAAAGAGAGCAAAATTTTGTCCAATCAAATGGTTTGCTCAAATGAATAAAAAAAAGTCAATTTTGTCATTTGCATGAAACTGAAGACTCTTTTGTAGCTGTGAAAGTGAAGCTGAAAGTGACCTTAGTTTGTTGTTTGTCATGAATGAATAAAAGTGAACCAGAAGATGAAGTAAACGGATAAAAAGTGTATATATATTTAAGAATGAATCATGAAGATGGAATAGAGAAAGATGATGATGAAGAAGATGAACAACAAGAAAAGACTGAGTAAAGGTCACAATGGGAATAGTTTTTGCTCTTTTTTCTCATCTTCTCTCTTTCCATTTGAATCAAAGTTAGACAAGCATAAAAGTTATTTCAGCTTTTCCACTGTTCATTCCCTTCATCAGGTCATTCAAATTCAGGAAGACGATTCCCGAGACAAACATTGTTCACTTTTGTAAAATTGAACTACAAAAGTAAAAATCATTGAGAGTAAAATGGAAAAAAAGAGAAGCAAAAAAAAAGTTGAGAAAAAACTTTTTCTTTTCTCATCGTTTTTCTCTCTCCATTCTTGTCTTCATATGAAGATGAACCCAAATAACAGGGCAAAACAATCTTGAAATCGTTGAAAACTTCTTTTTTTACTTTTCTCTCCATGTTGATATTCAGTTCAATTGCGAGTTTTATTTATCTTTTCCTTCCCTGTTGGAGGTTGAGAGGGAAGAAGAAGAAGAAGAAAGTTTCTCTGTTTTGCAAACACAAGATTCCAATGAAAATTTACTTTTCACAATTGAGGTTAACTCAACCGATTACGAGCTAATATTCAATGTTAAACTCGAGTTCAAGATTAAAGTTTTAATGTAAAAGTAAAGGAAAAACATGAAATCTGAAAAATCCAAAGGAAAATGACTTTTCTCTTCTTTTTCTGTGTTACTTCATCAACTTTGCAAATGGAAAAGTTGAACAATTTATTGAGTAAAGACACAATTCTGGTGAAATGAAAATTCATCTCAATCTTTTTATCCTCAGATTTAACCAAAGTTCTGTAAAAGTTTATTCAAATTCAGTGGTCAAATCAATTTTTAATCATTTTACAAACTCTTTTAACTTTTTTCTTTATCCAAAGGAAAACAAAATTGACCATTTGAATTGCAATTTGATGAAAAAATGGGCAAAAATAATGAGAAATGAATTTTCTTTTCATGATAAAAAACGAAATAAACGAAAATTTGAACTTAAATATTTATCCATACACAAATAGAGTCGACTTTACATGAAACTTTTATCAGTCAAAATGAGAGAAAATTTGAAAATTCTGTTTATTCAAAGAAAGAAATTTTTCGCTTCTTTAATTGTCAAAGTTTGAAATGAAAAATTTGAATTGAAAAGTGATTAACTGATGAATTGAGTAAACTTGATTTGGAGTAAATTTTTTGCTCGAAATTTCTTTTCTTTTCACCAGAACAATCATGACTATTTGATGGAAAAGAGATGAATTTCCATGAAATGTTCTTTTCCATTTTTTCAGCAAATATTTTTCCTTTTTGAGTTTCACTTCATTCCTCGCGTCAAACTATTATTATTATTGTCTTTGTCAACATTATTAGCATGCAACTTGAAATGAGAATTTGAATGAAGATCAAGTTGAATGAAGACTGGAAAGGGTAAAAGATTAGTTTCTGTTAAGGTATTGCCAATTGAAATGATGAACATGAAAATGTTTCCTTCCATTCGTCTTCTCATGCAACGAAATGGAGAAAAAAATATTTCTATTATTAATATCATCAAGTTGACTTCAAGTCTCTTTACCTTCATTTTTCATTTCCACTGAATTTTGTGCATTTTTGTGCCAATAAAATTAGAATTCAAATTGAGAACCATTTCACTGAATCAGTCAATTGACTGATTTATTAGGTAAATTACATTTTCTTGCTTCAATCTTTTCCCGTTTCTTCAACTTCACTTGACTACATTAGACTTATTCATTTATTTAATTCAACATTTTTCTTTGTTTGTTGTTTTTTTCTCACAATTTTTGCCTTTTTTTCTCCTCTCTTGCAAACTCTTTTCCCTTTTCTCATTCAGTTATCATGAAATTGATGAGAGGTTCAATTTTTCGTCTTCCTTCTTGCACTTTCAATCTGATAAAAAGAAGAGTTGAAATAAATCTCATGAAATTGTTTTGTCACATAAACAATCAACAATTTGCTTATTATCTCATCGCTCTTGTCTGTTTATATTATTTTTCAACTTCAACTAACTCTCTGCTCAGTCTGCATATTAAGCACACAAAGTAATGAGAGTTACAAAAATGAAGATGAAATGTTGAACCTGAATAATGTGTGATGAAAAATGCAAAGTAAAATACTTGCAAGATTAAGTCAAAGCTAGTTGAAGCTTGAAAATTGCAACAACTCAACATTGTATCCAAACTATTGACTGTTTATTCATTTTTGGTTTTCACCCAAACATCTGATATGCAATGCATTCCCTTGGATAGTTGATCAATTTGCCAAACTAATGGACCGTCAAATTTATTTAATTTATTATATCATCTTCCTTTAACCTGCATTACTATTCATGGCTTTCATGCCATCTTTTACAGTCGCTTT